TCCGACCGGCCCTTCGCCCGATGGCCCAATCCGCCCCTGCATGGGCAGGGAGAGATAACGTCTTACCCCAAACAAATTGCAAAAGACACCAGGAAGTTTCGTAGAGCGATATCTCGTCTCACATGTCACTGATGAAACAATATGCCCGAAACACATGTTACGCTAGACACCTTTTATTTAAAGGTAAATCGCTAATATTTGGGACTTACAAATTGACACAAATGGGTCGGAAATAATGTAATATGAATGTAAATAAACTGATTCGGTATTTCGCCGAACATAACTGCTTTGAAATTAGAGTAAAAACGGAAACGATTGAACATAAATCAATTTATATACATTCATATTACATTATTATTTTCTAACGTTATAATAATGTTAGTTTTCTAACGTTAATGTAATGTTAGTTTTATGTCATAATTTTAACCGTTAATTTAGGGTTAGTTTTCTAACGTAAATCTAATGTTAATTTTATAACATAAATCTAACTTTAGTTTTCTAACATAAATCTAACGTTAGTTTTCTAATATAAACCTGATATTAGTTGTAAAACGTAAAACAAATGTCAGTTTAATGTCATGATACTAACAATTAAGGGCCTGACAAGTTTCGTAGAGCGATATCTCGTCTCACATGTCACTGATGAAACAATATGCCCGAAACACATGTTACGCTAGACACCTTTTATTTAAAGGTAAATCGCTAATATTTGGGACTTACAAATTGACACAAATGGGTCGGAAATAATGTAATATGAATGTAAATAAACTGATTCGGTATTTCGCCGAACATAACTGCTTTGAAATTAGAGTAAAAACGGAAACGATTGAACATAAATCAATTTATATACATTCATATTACATTATTATTTTCTAACGTTATAATAATGTTAGTTTTCTAACGTTAATGTAATGTTAGTTTTATGTCATAATTTTAATCGTTAATTTAGGGTTAGTTTTCTAACGTAAATCTAATGTTAATTTTATAACATAAATCTAACTTTAGTTTTCTAACATAAATCTAACGTTAGTTTTCTAATATAAACTTGATATTAGTTGTAAAACGTAAAACAAATGTCAGTTTAATGTCATGATACTAACAATTAAGGGCCTGACAAGATAGCTGTCTAGTCATTAAAATGGGACAAAAATGGGTAAGACCCTGGCTCGCTAGCCTGGAGGTCGGGTGTTCGATCCCTGCATTGGCCGAGAAAGTTCATCCAGATTTCCGGCGTTTTTTCCCCTTGTCAGTGATGCAGGACGGAGAGCCTGACAAGGACAGCTGTCTTATAGTTGTTCAGATTGGATAAAAAACCGAGGTCCCGTGTACACATTGGCATGCATGTAAAAGATCCCTTGACAGTTGGAATTCGATATAAGAGTAGGCCGTAGTGCCACTGTCGGGGCAAAATTTCCCTCATAACACACTGTATGGTGTATGGTGTATCTTCATTAGCCCAGTTCGGAGCAGAACAGTTAGACGTTAAACCCCATTTCATTTCATTACATTTTGTATCCATTTCTAAGTGCCCAAGAATAGAGATCTAGCTCCTTTAATAGTTGCGAACTGTAGGTGACACACAAAGAGAAAACGAATGAATGAATGATCTACTCTCATTTCAAATTCCAAATGTCAAGGGTTCTTTTACGTGCACACCCACGTGATGGACTAGACACTGTTTTTTTTAGGTCCTCTGTCCTACACCACTACTAACAAAGGGAACTTTCTCGACCAACATGGGGATCACGTTGGCTAAGTGAGTAAGACGCTGACTCGCTAGCCTGGAGGTCGGGTGTTCGATCCCTGCATTGGCTGAGAAAGTTCATCCAGATTTTCCTGCGTGTTTTCCCCTTGTCAGTGATACGGGACGGAGGGCCTGACAAGAACAGCTGTCTAGTCAGGGATGAAAAACTGAGGTCACGTGTACACACAGGGCAAAATTTCCTTCATAGCATACTGTATGGCGTATGCTTGTCTTCATTAGCTCAGTTTAGGAGCAGAACAGTAGGACGTTAAACCCGATTTCATTTCATTTTTCTCGACCAACACGGAAATTGAACCCCTCATTTGCTAGCCAGTGTGTTACTAATTACTAGAGAGAGAGAAATGGGGTTTAACGTCTACTCGACACAAACTAGGTCATTTCGGGACTAACATATAGTTTAATTTTTATTTACATAATTCGCTTGCGCGTAGGGGTCTTTAGCAGTGGGAGAAAACCGGAGGTTGGACAGGCGACCCTACTCCTTGTCACGTACAACCGGGGATTCGAAACCACGCCAGTCAACTCAATGACAGACTTTATGATACAGCGCCCGCACGCTAACCATTCAGCCATCCAACCCCCCCACCCACCCCCCGTTACTAATTACTAAGTTTGTGAAATGTAGGTTTTTCCTCATGTAGGTTTGTCCTGATGAAATCGGTTTATTGTCCTACTGTTCTGCTCCGACTGGGCTAATGAAGACAGGTACATACCATACAATGTGCTATGAGGGAAATTTTGCCCCAGCAGCGGCACTATGGCCTACTAATATCGAATCCAACTGCCAAGGGATCTTTTCGTGCAAGCCAATGTATACATGGTACCTCGGTTTTTTGTCCCATCTGAGTGACTAGACTACTGTCCTTGTTCCTGCACCTCTGACAAGGGGAAACCATGTCGGAAAATCCTGATGAACTTTCTCCACCAATGCAGGGATCGAACACGTGCCCTCCGGATTACCGAGCCAGCATCTTACGCACTTAGCCACCGTGGCTTTATCAAAATTAGTAATGAAGATGTGCTATGACAGAAATTTTGCCTGGACAGCAGCATTACCGCACTTACTAATGAAGATGTGCTAGGAAAGACATTTTGCCTGGAGAGCAGCATTTCCGCATATAGTAATAGTCATTACCAATAGTTCTAAGTCAAAGTGCACGCCAACCTGTAAAAGAGGTCTTTACACACTTTTCCATCATTACCAATTACTAGTCTGCGGGTTCACTAGTCCATGGGTGCACTAATCCGTGCATTCACTAGTCCACTAGTGTGACTCTATAAATACTATAAATTAGGGCTGCAACGATACACCAGGCCACGATACGATGCGCATCACGATTCATACCCCACGATACGATTAATATCACGATGCAGTTTTCTCGGTCCACTGAACGAATTCCATTCTTGTCATAATTTACGGGAAATCCAAAAAACTCCCATACTTGTGACTTATACTTGGCAGAGGAATTTTCAATTTCTACATTATTTTTGTCGCCCGTACGACCTGAATTTGTTGACGAATGCATCATTATTAAAAATATTCTGTTGCTGAATCAATTCAATGGCTGGCTCGTATTGCTACAACAATTTCAGCCAATGGAAAGCTTTCTCGTTGTCAATACGAAATTTGAATGTCAAAATATTATTATACATTGAAAATATAGAAAAGATAATTGAGCTGATCATTGTATGCACCTATCACCATTCTTGCACAGTAGTCTTATTACAAATCGCATATTACTGACGTATTTATAATAATATGTTGTATGTTTTTTTCCGCATATTATTCAAGTGTGTAATTTGCAAGTAACCTAATTTCATGCCTGACTTGCTTATCCAGACTGATATTTTACTTTATTCTTGACGAAATAGCTGAAAGTCTCGAATTATATAAATATATATGTATCTATGGTAGCACAAATATCATCAGAATGTAGGCCAAAGCTTTACAAGCATTGTAGGCCTAAAATACTTTCTGTCTGAACTTTTGACAGTCAATTCTTTGATGACTAGTTAGTTTAGATATAGTCCCTATCAGGAAGCATTAATCTTAGTCCAGACGATAAAAACAGATGAGTTATGACGTCATCTTCGGCCTAACTCGGAAACACGCCCCTTTCCTTATATGGCCAGTTAGAGTGGAGAAATTGTGATAGTGGAAAATGCAATGGAGAAAATCTGATAGTTGAAAATGCAAAGATGAAAAATTTACAGTGAATTTGCAAAGGCGAAAAGTAGAGAGGGAAAAAACAAAACTAGATTTTTAGTTTGTTAACTTTTGTCGAGCATTTGTGACCCACGCATGGCAAAACCAGTCACATGTCACAAATTTAGTTATTTTAGATATTGGTATGAGGTGATCCTACACATAATTCCCTTCAAAATAAAACAAGTTTCATGTAAATCGGACAAAAATTGGCCGAGCAAGGGCATGTTGAAGATGCAAAATCATAAATACATTAATTTGAGAATTTTAAACGCGGTCGAAATTCTTTGTTTTAAGGCATTTCTTTTCAGACAGTCTTCGTAAATCGCATATTAATGAACTATGTGATTATTATTATGTTGTAAAAACAGGTTTGTACAAAAGTTTATGCCTTTGACTATTGATTTTTGGTGAAAACTCAAAATCGGTCAGATGGCAGTTTCTTACCTATTTTGACCCATACTGAAAAATGACATTCTGCAACATGCGACGCAATTAGACACGGTGGGTCACATTTGTGTTTTATCGTAAATATCCATTAAAATGTATTAAGTGTTACATGATTTTTACATGTGAAAAATCTCGAAAATGGCCATTTATATTTTACCATTTTGACTATGATAATTTTGCAATTTTACCATGATATTTTCTCTTAATATGGCAACGATTCGGCTCCATAGATATATGCATCAATGAAATTGAATAACAATGTTATCTCATTATAAAAATTGACGTCAAACGGTGTGTTGGATTTCTCTCTTTAAAATGCGCAATGTGTATGTATGCCTTCGTAATTTAGAGACGATGATGGCATCATGCATTGTCAAAACTGTCAAATTTTCTCAACATGAACCTGGCAAACCCCCTCCTGCAAAAATTCCTGGATCCGCAACTGAATACTGTAAGGTGTATCGGAGCAGATTTCATTTCATTTTTCTATATTATCTCCTTGAATAGATAAAAACGCGCCCCAATTTTGCAGTGCGATATTTATGGTTACCAGGCTGGCAACAAAAGCAAAGAAAGATAAAAGTGGGCGTGGCATACATGGAGTCGTATTGATCGCAGCGACATCGCAGACATTATCACGTGGCAAGCATCGAAGTTTGAGCGATAAAGCGGCACTCTTAGTTGTCTTCTTGTAAGAAGGGTATAGAATCAACTGTCATAGGCTTTATAACAGGTAAATTAGAATCATGTTCATAGAAATACAATTAGTTATTCTGACATTGTGTGGACAAAGGCATCAGGACTGGCGATGGTTGTTGTAGTTGTACTATAAATATAAATGCTGGCAAAGGGACGTTTAGCCTACGGACTAGAGTAGAGAACACACAACATTGAACATTACACCGGCTACCTTTACCGGCTTTCCTACTGACCCTAGAGTAGTATTATTTCTTTTGTTGTCATGTTGTCAAGCTCAGAAATTAAATATTAATGAGATACTATAACTTATATATAGGTACCGGTAGTTCATTATAATCGACCAATCCATAGCTTAAATGAAGAGCTTTAACTGTGGATTTAGATGTTGTTATATTTATACAAATATTTTATTGGGTTTTTTTTATTTTTGTCACCCGTCCCGACGGTCAATGGGCTAAATCTATTTGGTAAGGCCAGCTCAATTTTTGTCAAGGTTGCTGAGATGTAATTAGAGCACATGATTGTTGGCGAGATTGTAGGTTACGATCATAAGCATTGGTAGGCTACTAGGGTTAGGGTTGGGATTAGCGCTAGCCCTGCTTACATCTCTTGACCTATGACGAAAAGTTGAGCTGGCCTTATCATTTAGCACTAACCATTGGCATCCACCACTCACAGTCCACATTATCTTAGAATGTGAGACTATCTTGTCACTTGGGGTGGGGGCTATTGAGATTACACAGAATTTAAAGATAGATGAATTATCGAAAGTAATCATTTAAAGCGACAATTACATTTTTAAAAGTCATCTAGCTTTTTACAGAATACCATTAGGGTCAATCAAGTGAAAAAAATATTTTGATTATCTCGTAATTACAACATACATGTAGTTATCTGGAATTAACTTGTAATTACAACACAGTTATAAGGTCGCTACCTGTCTTAATGAGAGCATGATATTAAAGAGGAATGGCTAAACTTGCCTTTTGTAGGGTAGAGTCAAATGTTATATAAATTATTATTAAAGGAATTTATTCACATGACAAGCCTTTAATCAACTCTCTAGATTATCGGGTAGCAGAGATTTAAATAGATTGAAACACAATGTCCATTTAATGATTTAATTCAACAATTGTGAATAGTCTCAAATAACAAGTATCATTTTTATGATAATAAGCAATCAATGCCACATCTTGTCAGATGAAAAGCCTGTAATCAACTCTCTAGACCATCAGATGACTTCGATATTGAGTGCCGAGTGGATTAGACCATGCACACATCTGATAATATGACCAGCGTCGCGGTGACTGAATTGACAATATTCACCCTGTGTAAAGTAATTTGATTAAAATTTTCTATATACCGGTACTCATTTTTCATTATCTATTTTTGATCTATTATAGCAAGACCGAACAGCTCTTCAGCTTGATCTTGCATAATGTATATTTAGTGATTTATATTATAGTCCTCTAAGTTATTTGAGGGACTGTAAATCATTTGGCAAACTACTATACACTGTTGTGAAAGTTGGATTTCTATCGGTCTAAAAATGATTCAACTAGGTTCAAAATTATTAATGGGAGCAAGAAATTAATCATTGATATAAGCTGATACGAATGTTCTGATTGTAACCTAATAAAGTATGGCAGTGACCTAGCTATCCAGTAAACCTGTGCCTGGCAACTTTAAAATTAACTCATAATTATGAGGATGAATTTATAATTACACAGTAATTAATTCATAAGTACGAGATAATGAAAGTATTTTTTCATTTGATTGAGCCTTATGGTCTTCTGTAATGATCCTATTAATCTTATAATTCACTGCTGTCAGTTAAAGATACATTATGGGAGATTCGATAACGAGTTGGCAGTTCTCACTATAATAGTTAAAAACTAGATAATGTAAAGGGAATTTGCTGAAAATTTCAGTCAAATTGATCTGCTATGAACCTAGAATTAAGCGATTGAAATTTCGGCTTAGCCTCGATCATCATTACTAAGTCTGTACAATAAATAAAAAAACATAGTCTCGATTATCCATTTGATGATTAAATCAGGAATGAAAGTTGAGCAGCAAATGGGATCATACATGTAATCCAGTAAATATTGCAGGCTAGCGATGACATCTGGAGTTGATTATGGTCTGGATAAGTTAATTAATGTCTAATTAATAATTTAGATAACATTTCAGGCCTAACGAAAGACCTGCAATAGGCAGATTTAGCTCTTGCATAATGTATGTTTATGTTATAAACAAATATATCATTTTCAAGTTGAAACATCAACGTTGAGCTTCCTCAATTCCGTAGTGTTTAAGAAACAATTGAGGTACTTCTGTTATTATTTCCAGTGTTATCATTTTAAGTGCTAGAATGAGTCCTATGAGCTTATGATAGTGATGTGACAAATTATTAAGCAATATATAGATATAATTATGTTTTGATTATTTTTTGAAAATATGCAACTTAATACCGGTTGAAATTCATAACACACCTGGAAATGATAAGAGATGAATTGTCTGACAAAATGGCATTTAGTTTAATTTATTTTAGCAAATCACCACACTAGGTCTGTAGAGTGTGGAAAAGGTCCTACTGAATTAATGAAAAAGGAAAATGTGTTGCAAATGATACACTCTATAGAACAGTATTTGCTTCACAAAACTTATGTTAAACATGCATTATGCAAGAGCTATAAATCGGCCAGTTGGAGGTCTTTCTTTAGGCCTGAAATGTTATAAAAACTATTAGACATTTATTAACATAAGACCATAATCAACTTTATGTGTCTGATTTTCATTGGATTTGAAAAAATTGAATCTAATCTGCTGTTCAACGCCCATTGATGATTAACTGCAAAAATGGATAATGCTTTTGTTAGTTATCGTGACCGCGGTAACAATGACATTCAAGGTTGTGGTGATTTAAAATAAGGTTTTCTCGGCTTAGAGTAAAGCAATTTGACTGAAATTTTCAGCATATTCCCTTTACATTGACTATTATAGTGAGAATTACCAGCTCTTTATCTTATTGCCCATAATGTATCTTTAAGCTAATTTCTTGTAAATGTGATGGAGACTAAAGTTTTATTATCAAATTTGATGTGAAGCATTGGGATTATGACAGGATGAATCCTATTGATTTTAACTGTTCTCTGTCAAACACTAGTATTATGGTGCCTTATTTCATCCCTAATGAAGCCCCAACAACAACACAGAATCGGCCACATAAAATCAAAAAAACACTAACAAGTTGTAAACATTGTACAGGTCACATTTTTTTTCAGACTTGCGGAGATTAGTCCTAAGGGGAGAAATCTTATCGAAAGTTCGAAAACCTGTAAACTTTTTAGTATTCATTTTTCAAAGCTGCAATATGATTGTATGAGGAGCCCTATCAAAATTCATTTATTTTTGGCTTGTCAACATTATGTTTAAATTATATTTCTGATTATAAATGATTGTTGCAGATTAAGATGGCATCAGGTAAAAGTGTTATTCTTGTTACTGGAGGTACTGGTTTGGTTGGAAAAGCCATTGAAAAGGTTGTAAATGATGGTGAAAAAAAAGAAAATGAAGAGTGGATATTTGTTTCATCCAAAGATGCTGATCTAACGTATGCAGCCTTATTTAAATATCATTTTAGTTTATTATTAACTGACATGACAATCATTCTTTGCATTCTTTTATTATCACAAAATATTCTGAATACGTTTACTAAATTTTGTATAGTTATTATTGGTTCTCCTACTGTGATTTTGTTAGATACACACTGGTTAACCTTTTGATCATATTATGTCGTCACCCTTAATTGCCAACTGGCTCGTCAGCCATCAGTTCATACACAATTTCTTTTCATCAATTCCGTATACTGAGCTATACTCCCAATACAGAATTAAGTTCTTCATCAATTTCTTGTGCTCCCAAAACACAATTGGGTTTTTCTCCAATTCCTTATACTCCCAAGTCCCAATACACAGTTAATGAGTACATATATAGTCATTACCCATGATTTTGTGTGGAATACCGATTCAGCTATTTATTAATGTTAGATTAAAAATGTGACAACCTTTATGAACCGCTTGGATGACTGCACAGTGGATATGTGTTTCATTATAACCTATTGTTTAACAAGCATATTATATTATATTTGAATATTTTTTAAAATCAAATTTTTCATTTCAACCTCTATAAGGATCCACAAGCTAAAAATCTGATTTTCCGTACACTCGGGGCCATAATCTTGGAAGTTATGGTCCGATACATGCCATTATCGAAAGGAACTGAGATCTTTTGGATATAAACATATATTTTATATGTGAACAAAACATGCCAACCCATGACTTTATTGTTCACGTTTGAATAATCTCTATATATAATCATCTCAGTTTTATTATACACTCCGGTTTCCTCCCACTGCTAAAGACCCCTACGGCGCAAGCAAATAATTGAAATAGATTAAACCATATGTTAGTCCCAAAATGACCTAATTTGTGTCGAGTGGACGTTAAACCCCATTTCTCTCTCTCCCATTTTCATATGGACGTATTATGCCCTCACTCCTGTCTATACAATTTTTATCCAATTTTGATGAATGCTTTTGTTTGTAGAAATCGTGAACAAACTGAGGCTATGTTTGAGAAGTATAAGCCCACTCATGTGATCCATTTAGCTGCTATGGTTGGAGGGTTGTTTAGAAACCTGAAATATAACCTTGATTTTTTAGTAAGTGAACACTGCATGTATGTAATTATAGGTTATAAAAGTGAGAAATAAGATTATTGTATTGAAAGATGCATTACCTAAGAATTAGTTTTGCAGGATTTTCCGACATGGATTCCTAGCTTTGAAAATAATATCGCAGCCTATAGGTTCCTTTCACCTCATGTACAAATTTTTTTGGGGAGTCAATTAAAATTATTAGCAGATAATTTGACATTGAAACTGAATGTTTGTATATCTTCCAAAAGGTATGCACAGTACACTCTAAACTGAAGTCACTCAATTAAAGTTACTAAATTATTAGATATGTTCGGGGTTTTTTTTTTCAGAGGTTAAACACTATTATTAAAGATACATTATGGGAGATTTGATAATGAGTTGGCAGTTATCACTATAATAGTTAAAAACTAGATAATGTAAAGGCAATTTGCTGAAAATTTCATTCAAATTGATTAACTATGAACCGAGAACAAAGCGATTGAATTTCCGCCCAGTCTGGATTATCATTACTAAATTCAGTACGATAAACAGCATAGTCTCGATTATCCATTTAATCATTTAATCGAGAAGGAAAGTAATACGTAAATCAGCTTTTAATCCACTAAAGATCGAAGGCTAGCAATGCCATCTAAAGTTGATTATGGTCTGGATAGGTTAATTAATGTCTAATTAATAATTTAGATAACATTTCAGACCTAAAGAAAGACCCGCAATAGACAGATTTAGCTCTTGCATAATGTATGTTTAATGATAATGTTTTAAATATAAGATTACTAAATTATTAAATATGTTCAGGTTGTTTTTTTTTCAGCGGTTAAACACTATTATTTATGATAATGTTTTAAATATGTTCGGGGTTTTTTTTTCAGAGGTTAAACACTATTATTAATGATAATGTTTTAAATATAAGTTATAAAATGGGTGTAAAGAAAGTTGTGTCCTGTTTATCTACTTGTATATTTCCTGATAAAACAACTTATCCTATAGATGAAACTATGGTATGTTTCAATTTTTTTTATAATGGGCCTACATCAATCTGATTAAAACACAGGTCCGTTCGTTGTTCGTTTCTAGAGTTTTACGTCCACTTCCACCTAGGGTGATAACACAGATCCTATTTCATTTCATTTTTATAGTTCAAAATTTCGTTTTACTTGTCTTTACTATACTAGGATCTGGAAGAGTTGTTATATTACCGGCGTTTTGATGAAGTGAGGGATAAGCCAATGAAACAGTCTGTTACGGCGACTTCTTGGCGTGCCATGCACGGAACGGAACTCTGGGTAAACCACTAGAAACGTCAACGCTGACTGATTAATCAATGTCCGACGTCATAAGGTCAAAAGCAGCTCGTACGACACCTGAGACGAATTTCGAATACAACTTGTCAGATCTTCATGTAGTGTAGGCCATTGAAAGTATAAAAAAAACGAAAAGAAATATAGTTCTGTATTTTAAACAGATTGACCTACATGGAAATATTTATTTTCTTGATTTGTTTAATTCAGGCTTAAAAAAATCAGGCTCACAAAATCAAAGTACCTTAATATTGTCAAATTAATGAAACGGTTTTTAACTGCTTACAGAGTTAAAGCTCAGGGCTGATAAGATTATGAATATTTTACAGCCCCAGGCTATATTATACATGTTGATGATATATAATTTTGCAGATGTTACAATAAAATTTAATAAAACCAATGTATTGTGTAAATTTTATGGCAGGGGGTCGTTTTAGTACAGATATAAAATAAAATTCATTGTTTGGACCATATGGTGGATCTATGTTCAATTTATAGTTTAATTCTGAAGATGACAGCAACATCTAATGGTTTTGAATTTTTTTCAGGTCCATAATGGCCCTCCTCACAATAGTAATTTTGGATATTCTTATGCTAAAAGAATGATAGACATTCAGAATAGAGCATATCATACACAACATGGGTGTAACTTTACTTCCGTCATTCCTACCAATGTATTTGGTCCATATGATAACTTTAATCTAGAAGATGGACATGTTTTACCTGGACTTATTCATAAAGTTCATAAATCTAAAAGTTAGTTTATTTCTTTTATCTTATTCTGACAAAATTACAAACCTTTTGGGTCTTTTGGTCCAAATGAGCCAAAAACAAGATACATGTATTTCTTAAAAAATTCAACGTTTACCATGTTTTGAAACAAGGTACATTCAGTGGCGGATTAAGCTCCACCAAGGCCTGAGGCGGTTGTTGCTAGAGGGCCTATTTAGTTTTTAAATAGGGCCTATTTAAAATGGCGTGGGCCTAATTAATTTTGGGTTAGGGCCTATGTTGATTCCCGTTGGGTCTAAACCCAACCCCCCTAACATTCATTGTCTATGCGTTTTTAATCGTGTCAGACAAGTCTAAAAATTTTTTTTTTACAAAATCTTTGGGCCTGAGGTTGCAGCCTCATCAGCCTCACTGATAATCCGCTACTGGTTACATTGTAGTATTATTCACACTAAATGTCATTTGGGAGTATTGTTGTCATCCTTGCCACTCCATCTGTCCCTCCAGCCATATTTATTGTAAACACTGTACCTAAGGAAATTGCTCAGCTAACACGAATGAGCATTATCGACAATTAGAGTTGTTGCCTCTCTCTTTAAATCCTCGTAAGCACTCCGCAGGTCAGAATTTTTGAGATTGGGATTGTTGATAATGAGGATTGTACACAAGCAATAAAGATACAAATTAGGTTCATCCTTAAATGTCTTAGTCTGTATTAAGTGGACTTTATAGTATACCCAATTTATCTCTTTCTCTGAAATATGTTTTATCTATTTGTTCAAAATATCACTGGTTTTAATTTCTTTTGATTTGAATTACTTTGAATAATTATTAAGGTTTTTTTATTCCCAATTTTCAGAAGACAATACTGAATTTGTGATATGGGGAACAGGTTCACCTAGACGACAGTTTATCTACTCCTTAGATCTGGCCCGCTTATTTTTGTGGGTACTACGAGAATATCAAGAAATTGATCCCATCATTCTCTCTGGTAGAGCTCATTTTTATTCTATTAAACATACATTATGCAAGAGCTAAATCTGTCTATTGCAGGTCTTTCTTTAGGCCTGAAATGTTATCTAAATTATTAATTAGACATTAATTAACTTATCCAGACCATAATCAACTCTAGATGGCATCGCTAGCCTGTGATCTTTAGTGGATTGTGAGGCGATTTACTGCATAACTTTCCTTCACGATTTAACGATAAAATGGATAATCGAAACTATGCTGTTTATCGTACTGACTTTAGTAATAATGATCAAGGCTAGGCAGAAATTCAATCGCTTTGTTCTCAGTTCATAGTGGATCAATTTGAATGAAATTTTCAGCAAATTGCCCTTACATTATCTAGTTTTTAACTATCATAGTGAGAACTGCCAACTCGTTATCGAATCTCCCATAATGTATCTTTAAATAATCTGGCTGTTATAATGTTACGTTTTGTGGTAATGAGACTTGTTTGAGTATTAAATTTTATAAGAGGTACTACACACTGTAGTTTAGAACATGACAGTGTCGTACCATCCGAGATCATGTCTGGTTAATCCAGTGTTAAATACTCGTTCAAGAATTTCTGGTCAGAAATATCAACCCAATCTTTTTACAATTTACAATATGTTTAAATTTTGTTGATTTTGAATTGCGAGGATTTCCATTGATAGATATCAAAAAAGATTGAACAAGCTTATTTTTGATAAAAAAATAAATAAAGTGACAGTGAAATTATTGTCTTGTAGTTGGGGAAGAGGATGAAGTTTCTATAAAAGAGGCAGCAGAATTGGTTGTTGAAGCCATGGATTTCAAGGGAAAAGTAGTTGTATCCTTTTTAAAATTATTATCTTTTTAGCTGTAGATACCTGTGTATCGGGTTTAGCTCGGTTCCATAGGCATTGCATTATGTAGCTTCAGTTTTAATTTCATTCCTTTCATGCAATTCTTAGTGTTTTTCAACAATCCCAACTGTTTTTCTATTAGATTTATTTCCCTGTGTGTGTGTATATATATATAGTTTTTTTTTACTCATTATTATTAGTCCAACTGAGTGTATTGTATTTAATAGAGGATATTTTTAAAATTTCAATGTTAAAGATCACCTTTTGGGACTAAGAAAGGTTAGGTACAACAGACAAACTAGGATAACAAATAATAACATTTTTAATGCACTCTTAACTGATTAAGTTATATTAAAATGGAAATAGATAGATCACGGGAACTTGTCATTGTAGATCATGAGAAACAGTCTTCTAGGACATGGGAACCTTTCATTGTAGGTCATGGGAAACTCTCTTGTAGGACATGGGAACCTTTCATTGTAGATCATGGGAAGTTGTATTGTAGGTCATGGGAACCTGTCTTATAGATCAAGGAAAGTTCTATTGTAGGTCATGTGGATTATGCTTTGAAACAGGTATTCTTTATATGTATGGTTAAAGCTACAGGGTTCAGTCGGTCTTTGTAGAAAGAATTATTTTGATGATTCTGTATTGATTATTTCTTTAACTATTGTAAGTTTGATACTGAAAAGTCTGATGGCCAATTCAAGAAGACTGCTAGTAATGCCAAATTGAGAAAGTACTTACCAGATTTCAAATTTACACCAATTAAACAAGGTAAGAAGATCCCAGAAAAAAAACCAAAACAGTTTATTTAAAATTGTACCAACTTTTTTCATTTTGGACTAAAAACATTTTGTTATGGGGGTCCATTCAACAATGTATTTCTGGTAAATAAAATTGCAAATATAGTAGTGAAAGCATTTCTAATGAATGCAGTCAACATCCCATAATTGAATCCAAAATGGCAGCCGAAAATGTGGTCAAATCAGGTGTCCTGCTCTTATTCGAAACTATCAAAAAACTACCTGTTCACCAACTTTTATTCTTTTGTCAAAAAGTGAACCATTCTATGAAAGTATCGACCTGACTATGTTTTAATTGATGAATGGTGATAATATTAACTTATTGTACATTTATACCATAGAAATAATATAAATTTGTCATATTGATTAAACTGCCGAAAATATCAACATCAAGGCAGTTTAATCAATTGCTTAATGTTTGCAGCCATCAAAAAAAAAAAAGATCCTTTACACTTACTGGACTGATCCCTGTTTTCTCAGTTGATTGTGTCATGTATAAAAAAAAAAATCTCTGCAATGTTTTCAATCATTTTATGTTCTTTATTAAATTATTTTTTCAGCGATTAAAGAAACCTGTGAATGGTTTGAAAAGAACCCTGATCAAGTTAGATTATGAATCAAAAGGCCAGAAAATTCTACATTGTAGGCAGATTTCATATCTTATGGGGAATTCACATGGGTTACTTGTACACATCTTGATATTTTATGTGGTAATTATTTGGTTTTTATTTATGTATTTAGTGTATATTATATAAAAGCGGGAGGTTGGATGGCCAAATGGTTAGCATGTACGCGCTGTATCATAAGGTCTGTCATTGAGTCAACTGGCATGGTTTTGATTCCACGGTTCTACGTGACAAGGAGTAGGGTCGCCTGTCCAATCTTGTGGGTTTTCTCTGGGTCCTCCGGTTTCCTCCCACTGCTAAAGGCCCCTATGCACAAGCAAATTATTGAAATAAAATTGAATCATGTGTTAGTTCCGAAATGACCTAGTTTGTGTCGCGTGGACGTTAAAGCCCTTTTCTCTCTCTCTCATATATAAATGCAACAAATTTTCATGAACAAATTATTTTTTTTTATCATCAATTGGGTTTGTTCATTTAAGTTGTGTCCTTGACACTAGTCATTACCAAGTTACCAAGGTATATCGAAAAAGGCTCCATTGGATTTCGTTTCCAGGGCATATCTCTCAAAAATAAAAATGTATTATTTCTAGTTGAATAATGTTTGTTTTGCCATAGAATCAAATTTTTACTTAGTTTTGGTATACATAGAGAATCTCCTAGAAGTCTTTTTTGATATAAAAAATACCAACACAAGTCGATAATGTTAAAAAAGAACGGGGCAAAGCCAAGGTTTTTTTTACTTTATCGACGGGTGTTCATATTTTTTTATATCAAAAAGACTAGTAGAAGATTTTTTTTTTATCACCCAACCCTTTCCATCCTTTTTAAATGGCCAATCAATTTCATATAGGAGATATCACTCAGTAGAATATTAAAGTTATCACACAAGCGATATCTACTGTAGAATATGTTATTGGGTTATATCTAATAAACTACTTATTATTGATAAATTTCTCAGTTTATTTGGAAGCAAACAATTTACTAAATTGTTTATGCTTTACAAACCTTTGCTAAAACAAATAAAAAAATTGCACTAGTATTAGCTTACATTAGATTAAGATATGATGGTGACTATAATTGTAATGATATTTTTGGTTATTTTTGAATATTTACACTGATTTTATTATTTGTTGATTTTGTAAGTCTTTGATTTTATGTAATATTATAATGATATATTTCTATGTGGGAATAAACATTTAGTGAAAGAGTTACGGTTGTTTTAGGCAGTAGTAAGGAAATAGCATCTTGTACTTAGGTCGCACTAATTTGATTTTCTGTTCTTTGAGCAGTTTTTCTGTTCTTAGAGCAGTTTTCTCTGGGTCCTCCGGTTTCCTCCCACTGCTAAATACCACTAAGCACAACTGAACTAATGAAATAAAATTGAACCATGTATGTTAGTCCAAAAATGACCTGGTTTGTGTGGAGTGGATGTTGAACCACCTGTAAAAGATTTTCCTTATTTGTTTGGAGAGAAAAAGACTTGTTTACCTCTGGAATTGATACTGAAGCATCCTCAGTATTCCCAGTGGTATTGTTCCATTGTACTCCTCTAACCACTGGGTCCATTCATGGGGTATTTACGAATTTAAATTATCTGTCTTTGATGATTTCATTGGCCACAGAGGTTATGTTCCAATGTCTTGACCAATCAAATTGCTTATCGCTACTTAGCTTAACAGAAAATGCTCATGTATCGAATTTAGTCAAGGTATTGATGTAATGAAAGTCTCACTTAATTAGAACTAAAGTTATCATGTCCCAAACCATCAACATTAAATTACTTATCTTTGCTTACCATAGACAGACAATGTTCATCATCGCATCAAGGCATTCACCTAATAAACACCTATACCAAGTTTGAACATTCTACCTCAATTAGAAAGAGAGGTATTGTGTTGCAAAGTCTCCACCAATCAAATTGCATATCACTCTGCTTACCCTGAGCAGAAAATGATCATTATCGAACTTAGTCAAGGTATTGATGTAATAAAACTATACACCAAGTTTCATCACTCTCACTTACTTAGAACTAAAGTTATCGTGTCCAAAACATCAACCAATCAAATTGCTTATCTCCGCTTACACTAAGCAGAAAATGCTCATCCTCGCACTCCATCAAGGCATTCACCTTAAAACACCTACACCAAGTTTGAACATTCTAGCTCAGTTAGAAGCAGAATTATCTTGTCCCAAAAAGTGTGACAGACGGACGGACAGACTCAATTTAATAGTCCCCTGCTTTCTTTGAAAGACGGACAAATTTGTGAATTATTTGTGGAATCCATAAATTGCCAAAAACATTAATGAAATCATCTTAAAATAGGTTAAGCACATCTTTAATTACTGATTTCACTACCTGCAAAAATTGATGGAAGTACGGACAAAGCCCTATAAATACGATATTTTGGCCCATTTGAAAAACATACGCGTACTGACTAGATACCACATCAGTCAAATTTGTTGAATGCATTGTGTTTTATTCAGATCTGTCAAGTGAACAATATCCAATTACATGTATTTACTGCTACTAAAAATCTATAACTGAATGTACTCTAAAATCAGAGTAGTTGTAGCATATTTGTTTAAAACACAAATTTGTAAATGTTAACTTAAACATAATAAATATCTGGGTACATAATATATTAACAATCTTCATATGCTATTTTTTTTATGTACACATAACCAAATACCAATTATTTTTTTAAATTGACTTTTTCCCAGCACTGCTTGTATCACGGGTATAAAAAGTTCTAATCTCATCCCAGTAAGACAACTGTTAATATTTTATCTATCTTTTAATAAGTCTCTTGATACAAGTAATCTCATTATTTCATTTGTTCCTGAAAACAAAATATTACATATTCTACATAAAAATTTAATTCAACAATAAATGAATAAAGAATTCTGATTTTAATTTGACAAAGAACAAATCAATAGATGTTAATATGACTAGGAGCAAAACAATAATCTGTTTTATTTACAATATCACAATGACATATTGTGAACACCTTAACCCTTAACCGGTTGACGTCATTTTGACTTGAAGTGACTTTGCGCCAGTTGCATTTTCGATAAAAAATCAAATATTTCATGGCTTGATCCACGCTAATATGTAGGCCACTCAGATTGGTTATTTAACATTTAATTAAGAAACCAATCAAAATACTAACACTAGATAATGTCTCGACTTGGATTTAATCAGATTTAAAACCGACCCATCACGTAAGGTGACAGGCTTATTACATATCGAGCAGCATAGATTGATGAAATTTCAATTCAACATATCTTTGTAAATACTGAACAGAATTGAACCATTTTTGGACTGATATTTCTGTTAGAGATTCATTTTTCTCAATACTGCAAGGGATACCTATTGCACTTAAATGAAGCAATGAATCATTAACATTTTTTACTGAGATGTGAACAATGCTGAAAACAGAATTTTGGCAGCAGAATAGCTTTTCTGTCTACTGTGAAAAAGCTTACTGTAAATTGAAAATCACTTATTTATTTGCATGGATGAGATACCTATCAGGTATTAGCCTTGTTCATTCAGTGCTCACATTACAGTCTTCAGACTGAAACCACTTTACATAGCACACAAGTAATATTGATAAGAAAATTTTAGCTGGCAATATTAATACAAACCTTCTAATATAGAGTGTACTCGACTGTCACGGAAATACTGTTGTACTGGATATTCTTTTAAATAACCATAACCACCAAACATCTGTAATGCCTGGTTACATATCTATAATATATATTCTCCGTTAAATATGGCTATATAATTTATATAATGTACACATGCAATGTTATTTATAGATTTTGATAATTAAATTTAAATTTTGGTGAATAACTTTGGGTTAAATTTTAGATTTCTAGAAATTGTAAATCTTAAAAAGATAGGTTGCCAGGCAACGAAACATACGCCCACAGCAGCTAAATCGTCCTGGCAGTCAACAAGATTTGTGGCATATTTTTAATTTTCGGTAATGAAACATTTATAATACACTAAAATCTGATTATAAATTAAAAGTCAAACGGATATTAACTTTGGCCTCTAGAGCGTCCACAAGATTTTTCAAAGTGATCAAGGGCCATAACTCTGGCAGTAATTATTGCAAATCGCTGAAAATCAAAAGGCGTCTTCGTCTCATGACCGTAAACACTGTGTATAAATTTAAAGTCAATCGGATATTAATTTTGACAATCGGATATTAATTTTGACCTCTAGAGTGTCCACAAGATTTTTCAAAGTGATTAAGGGCCATAACTCTGGCAGTAATTATCGGAAATTGCTGAAAATCAATAGGCTTCTTCGTCTCATGACCTTAAACACTGTGTATAAATTTAAAGTCAATCGGATATTAACTTTGGCCTCTATAGCGTCCACAAGATTTTTCAAAGTGATCAAGGGCCATAACTCTGGAAGTAAAAATCAATAGGCTTCTTCGTCTCATGACCTTAAACACTGCGTATGAATTTAAAGCCAATCGGATATTAACTTTGGCCTGTACAGCGTCCACATGATTTTTTGATGTGATCAAGGGCCATAACTCTGGCAGTAATTATCGGAAATAGCTGAAAATCAATAGGCTTCTTTGTCTCATGACCTTAAACACTGTGTATAAATTTACAGTCAATCGGATATTAACTTTGGCCTCTATAGCGTCCACAAGATTTTTCAAAATGATCAAGGGCCATAACTCTGGCAGTAATTATCGGAAATTGCTAAAAATCAATAGGCTTCTTCGTCACATGACCTTAAACACTGTGTATGAATCGGATATTAACTTTGACCTCTAGAGCGTCTACAAGATTTTTTTAAGTGATCAAGGGCCATAACTCTGGCAGTAATTATCGGAAATCGCTGAAAATAAATAGGATTCTTCGTCTCATGACCTTAAACACTGTGTATAAATTTAAGATCAATCAGATATTAACTTTGGCCTCTAGAGCGTCCACCAGATTTTATGAAGTGATCAAGGGCCATAACTCTGGCAGTAATAATCGGAAATTGCTGAAAATCAAGAGGCTTCTTCGCCTCAAGACCTTAAACACTGTGTATAAATTTAAAGTCAATCGGATATTAACTTTAGCCTCTAGAGCGTCCACAAGCAATTGTGGACGCCGGACAGACGGACGGGGGGGACGACAATATACGACCACATTTAAATGTGGGCGGATAAAAATCAATAAGTTTACTTCTAAGGAAAAAATGATGAAATTCTATTAGCCTTAATTGATATTGACTAATGAATGACATCAAATAGCTCTGAAAATCAATTCAAATTCGCATGTTTGTGTAAGCACTAAATTTTTAAAATGAAGCTTTAAATTCAAAATTTGTTACTACGACTAGTAATAATTTGGCGCTACCAATCTCAGAATTAAGAAAGGGTCCATCCGAATGACGATTTAAGTCATCCCAAAATATCTAAAAGCAAAATTGGGAAATGTAGTCTGAAACTCTAATCATATCTTTTATCCATTATTATGTATTCGGGACTGTCCAACAAATAAATCTCCAAAACAAAACAGAACTCTTACTTTGAAACATTCATCTGTTGCAAATAATTTTGCCATAGAACAAAGTGGAACAGCATTAGGTGCTTTATTCTGTAGAGCTACTGCTGCATTTCTGACCATTAAACGAGATGCAACTAACCCAGCAGCCATGTCAGCAAACTTAAACTGCAGATACTGTCAACAGAAACAAAATATTTCATATGGATACATCATAAATAAAATCCTTGATTTTCACCTCCCTGCTCCCCTACCAACCACAAAAGATTTTAAAGCACATTGAAGCTTCAAAGCTATTAATATATACTGCAAATTATTTTAAACAACAGAAATGAAGACGATTTAAATTTGTCAATCAACTAATGTGGAAAAGTTTTAAGTTCTTTGGTGAAATGTTACCTATAAATATTGAAACCTAAGATAGCAGTAGTAGAGATTTGCAGATCAGGTGATGTTCTAGGGAATGAGGTTTAACCATTAAAGGGCCAATCTCGATTATATATAGGATATTAACCTACCCGAGGTTGATATGGTAGAGAACGCGCGGGCGAAGCCGAGGTAGAGTAGGTTTATATCCGACATATACAACGCCATTTCACCCTTAAATTTAATGGGCTCTTCCATTAAAAGGCAACAACGATTGGATAATTGCTCGACAGTTTCCGCCAAATAGCAAAAATCACCGAAGTAATCACGTGCAATTACGTGCATGTTTTTGTTTATATGTCGTCATTTTGGAGTATTGAATTGAAAGCAAAAACAAAATGGATAGTAATACGAAGTCAGACAAATAATCAATCCTTTTTAGCCAACATATTGACGATGGAATAGATGTGAATGCAAATATCAACTAGGATCTATCCAGTGATGAGATTTCAAAAAATTTCTTGTCGGACATTTTTTCCCGAAAATAAAGGGGCATAACTCTTATCGTAATTTAAGCCGACGTTTTCAAAACACAATTAAGAATCACGTGTCAACAAAATATATTCAAATTCATATGTAAAATAAAATATCCAAAGCCTGCAGAAAATTTGGATCAAAAGGCATTCTTTTCCAAGAATTCTGACAGTTGAACCATGATTGAAGGTTTTCGGTATGTTCAGAGAAGGATTTGACCGACTGTTTGAAGTGGACTGTACCCAAAACTACTTTACAAAGGAACTCTTGGGTGATAAATACTTTCAAGTCTTGTAGTGTGTGGAGAAATAATCGCAATGTGGATGAAAAGAAAATTCTGAAAGATGTTTTAGACATGGATAACCTATCTAAATACATGTATGTCGATAAGTACGCCGTTTATTTCGGTCCTGAATGTTAGAAACTGTACCATAACAAATTTTAATTGTCAAAAGAATAAAAATTTATTTCTGTGGGTTTTTTTTGTATTATTTCGATCATCTACGTCATCAGCGGTTGATATGAGCCGAATATATTGACCTGAGATGACTTCATTAGCGGTGGAATTATTCTAATTGCATCATTTAGCTTAAAGTAACCAATCATATCGTTAATTACACAAGTTCAGGGCCATGATCACACTTGATTGTGCGTGATATTCATATGGTTATAAGAGAAACCGGGGAACTTTGTAAGACAGACTTGCATTAGATTCCAGAGATCGAGGGTACATCTGAGTTCCTAGACAGCCGAGAGGCTGGATAGGGTGGAGAAGTGGTTTTAGCTATATAGTATTGTAATTTGTGCTATGCTTGTATACCTGTATTCAGTTATATGCTATAAAACGAATATATCAACCTATGATGATGTCATGACAGGTTGTTATGAGATATAACTGCTATGGACATCAAAGTAAAAACTACCGCCAGTTGTATATATTTTGGAGATAAAACCGCTTAATTTTGTGTGAAAAGCCCTTTAAATCCTCTACCTTAGTGCCAAGCAACTAACTCAATAGAGCAACTTACTCGATATACGTGATACATTTTCAAACAAATTAAACCCTTTCGTCTTCATCTGGAATTGGAGACCAGTGGCCCACGCTGTCCAAACGACACAATATTGTGAGCTGAAATTTTGAGACAATGCAAATACACCATTCCTCTATATTTTGGCGCTTAAATTTCATACGTACACAGACTTTTATTTCTGAGACTCTGTTAAAATTGGGATGGTCCCTTTAACGTCTCCTCAACACAATACTTCTGTCATTTTATCTTTATAGCTAGCTACATGCACATTATAAGAGAGGAGGATTTTGCACCTGACAGCAGCATCTGCAATTTCTCATCTTCTATTTCATATTGCCAATCTATGTGGGCCTCGGTATTGCCTTCCATCCAAACTAGGAACACGTTCCTTGTCAGCCTGATTTTCTAAGATATGTCTGCTAATTTGATGCAAATGAGATATTTTATACCTGATAATTTTCTAAAGTCTGTCCGAACTGTTTCCGTACTTTAAAATGATCCCGTACATGTTCCATACTAGCATGAGCACCTCCCAACGAACATGAAGCTGAAATAAATAAAGACAATCCAGCATTTCAATATGGCTATGCTACTGAAAATACAGAGACAGTCTTCCAGCCACCCTTGTTATTTGTACCACTATTTCAAATAAATATCAGGGATGTTCCCATACCAACTGTTTGGCTCCAAGAGAACTGCAGAACAAAATACAGATTGAACAAATGGTACAAAAACACTGCATATGAAGATACTGGTACTCAAATTCTATATATATTGTCAGCTACAAGATATCTAATAATGAGAGATTGACTAGGAAATTTAAAGTCCTTCCAATACAAAATTAAAGGCAATGGAAAAGGTAGTCCCGGTTTGGTTTTCTAATAAATATGCATGCACGAACAAGTAATATTGAATATAATCACAACTGTGTAAAATGAGGAAATCTTACCAACATTTATTCTGCCTCCATTTAATCCTCTCATAGCTATGGTAAAACCATCTCCTTCACCACCTATTCTATTAGCTACAGGTACTTTACAATCTTCAAATATCACAGCTCGTATAGGATGAGAATTCCAACCTACCTAAACAAATATCACAGCTTGTATAGGATCAGAATTCCAACCTACCTAAACAAGTATCACAGCTTGTATAGGATGAGGGAGCCACGGTGACTCAGAGAGTAAGATTAGCTCGCTAACCTGAAGGTTCTGTGTGCGATCCTGGGATATCCGGCATGGTTCCCCCTTTTCAGTGGTGTAGGACAGAGGGTCTGGCAAGGGACAATGTATAGTCATTTGGATGGATACGAAAAACCGGGGTCCTGTGTACACATTGGTGTGCACGTAAAAGAAACCCTTGACATCGGAACTTGATATTCGAGTAGGCTGTAGTGCATGGCATATGCTCGTCTTCATTAGCCAAGTTGGAGCAGAACAGTAAGACATTAAACCCTATTCCATTTCATTTTGTATAGGATGAGAATTCTAACCTACCTAAACAAATTGTTTTATTATTTTATAATCTTTGGCATGTTTACAATGAGGTGAACCGATGCTCGAATTCAAACAGCCATCGATTTTTATAAAATATTAATTCTTAATGTATCTTAATTAAATATTTTACTGAAATTGGTATAGCTGAAAAAAGGTCATTTTGAACATGTACCCAATCAAATATTAGTAATATTTATTCCAGTAGACAAAATATTTTATGTGTGGAGACCATGTTGTTAACATCGCCTGTCCAACCTTGTGGGTTTTCTCCGGGTCCTCTGGTTTCCTCACACTGCTAAAGACCCCTTGTGCAAGCGAATTATTAAAATAAAATTGAACCATGTGTAAGTTCCGAAATGACCTAGTTTGTGTCGAGTGGACATTAACTCTCTCTCTCACTCTCTCCCTCTCTCAGATAAACCATACTGGAGGAAAGACATATACAGGTACACTTTTAAAACAAATTCTGCAGAATTAATTCCCTTCAATTTAAAAGGTTTAAATAATAAATATAATCATACGATAAAATAAGATGAGGTTAAACTTTAATCAATACCTTTTTCTCTTTTTTACCAAATGATAATCCTGGTGTATCTTTTTCTACTAGAATACATGATATACCTTTAGCTCCTTCTGTACCAGTTCTACACATAACTAAATATACATCTGTTACACCGGCTCCACTTATAAATACCTACAATATAAACTTAAAATATACACTTACAATATACACCAAGATACATAAATTTACATATAGTTCTTTTAATTAGAATTATCTTGAGTCACACAAGTTGAGTGCTTTTCTCACAACAGGATTCCCTTAATAAAATCTATTCGTAGTGTCTTAAAAATTTTTGAAACCTAAAGGCAGTGACAAAATGAACAATTTGAAACAGTATCAGTTTGAACTACATCGGTTACAAATGTACTTGATTATCCAGTTGCTTGATGTTTTTTAATTCTCTTTTATGTAACTCTCTTATTCGTATACACTGTTTTGATTTCAGCCAATATTATTAGGCCAAATTGAAAAATGTAACATTATATTCTAGAGATAATCTATTTACGACCTTTTCTCCGTTTAAGATATAACTATCTCCATCTTTTTTAGCTGAAGTAATTAATGATGCTGCATCACTACCAGCACCTAGTGAATACAAGAAATAATCATTGTGAAAATAAAATAAATCTCAAAATATATATTCATACACTAGAATTAACAATGTGTAAATTGTATAATAACATTACATCCCACTAAAAACAATATTGCTACACTCTTTATTTATACGCGGGGGGTTGGATGGCCGAATGGTTAGCACGTGCGCGCTGTATCATACGGTCTGTCATTGAGTCAACTGGCGGGGTTTCGATTCCTCGGTGGTACATGACAAGGAGTAGGGTCACCTCTCCAACCTCGTGGGTTTTCTCCAGGTCCTCCAGTTTCCTCCCACTGCTAAAGACCCCTACGCGCAAGCGAATTATTGAAATAAAACATTGAACCATGTGTTACTCTGTCATTGTCTTTTACCTGGTTCTGTCAAACAATATGATGCACATACATCCATACAAGCTAACTGTGGTATCCAAGTTTCTTTTAATTTTTCACTACCAAATTCATCTATCATCCATGCACACATACTGATAAATAATAAAAACAATATCTTTTATTTCATATACAGTACAACCAATAAATACACCAAAAATATATCACTGATCTAACAACCAATTGTGAAAATACCTATATAGAAAATAGTAACCATACTGTCAAGTCATTGAAAAATTATGTTGTTTCTACAATGTTAAGATATATGACTGTATGTACCGTCATACTAAACTTAGGCGGTCTGTCTACAGTTAGCTCCGTCTGAGAACAGACACTAAGCTAGTTGACCGACATTTTAAGTACTAAATCAACGATTTTAGTCAAAAACACTAAGTATGCTTCGAGAATTTTGTTGAGTATTTTTCTGCTCCCATTTATTAAAATTGAAAGAAGTTTATTGAGTCTTTGTGTGTATAACAGATGTGAAACGGAGTAGAAACGCATTACAAAACAGTACATTAATTTTTAGATATGGCGGTCATTTAGGGCAGAGATCTATTCTCGATGAATGAAGAAGATGGATGTCTGTGCGCAGAATGTATGTACCGTATGCAACTAATTTCCATAAACTTAAATAGTTTAAGATTTTACTCAATTCTGAAATAGGCAAAAAAGTAAGGACTCATAATAATTTTTTTTTTTCCGAATGTTTGTTAAATATTGAATGTTGTTTAATAATAACCACTTACTTGTGAATGCTAATGTAAGCAGTAGTACTTACACATCCTGTTGATAATGCTTCAAATATAACAGATGCATCTAATCTTGTTAAACCAGTACCGCCATATGCTTCTTGACAATACACTGCTCCAAATCCCAACTCACCCGCCTTCTTCATTACATCACGAGGGAAATGTTCCTGAAAATATATTTGAAAATATAATTATTATATTTACTATACTATATCTTTACTATAACCTTGGCTAATAAAGATGTGCATATGCAGTGTGTTATGAGAGAAATTTTGTCCAGGTAGCAACATTTTTACCTACTCTTCAACGATTTCTGATTGTCAAAGGTACTTTTATGTGCACACCAAAGAAGTCAGAGAAAGAGAGAAATGTGGTTTATCGTCCACTCGACACAGACTAGGTCATTTCTGGACTAACATATGGTTTAATTTTATTTCAATAATTCGCTTGCGAGTAGGGGTCTTTAGCAGTGGGAGGAAACCGGAGGACACAGAGAAAACCCACAAGGTTGGACAGGCGACCCTACTCCTTGTCACGAACAGCCGAGGATTCGAAACCATGCCAGATGACTCAATGACAAGCCTTATGATACAACGTGTACGTTCTAACCATTCGGCCATTCAACCCATCCAAGAAATCACAGGTGGACATCTGTTTTATGTACCATTTGAGAAAGACTAGTCAGTTTTCCATACCAGGTTCTCAGTCCTGTACCATAACAAGGGAAATCAGGCTGGAAAATCCCAATTGGATTAAAATACAGATCTATATTTCGTTATGTTTATTTATACTTTCGATGCCTTGACTAGATGAAGATCTGACTGGTTGTAGTGAAAGGTTGGGTAATAAGTCATATGACGTCAGACACCGTACACCAAAAACTCGCCCTAACAGACCGTTTCATTGGCTAATCCCTCACGTGGGTTTTATAACAACTCTTCAAGATAATAGTGTAGTAAAAACAAGTAAAACAAAATTTTGAACTATAAAAAACGAAACGAAACAGGATCAGTGTTTTAATCAGATTGGGAAAATCCTGAACAACTTTCTTGTCTACACCGGGATTGAACCCAGAACCTCCTTATGGCTCCCTTCTTATTTGTGAACTTTGTTCATTAATATGAGCTTATCATGAACACTGGGAGAATGTGGAACAGTATACAGACCTCTTGATCCCAGTCTTTCATGTAAGGGGCCATTTCGTTCTTGGCAAAATCTCTAGCCATCTGTTGAATATGTTTCTGCTCATCTGACAAGCCATCACTAGCTAATACACAATAAGATATCAGTTAATAATTTGAAGCATTTTTCAGTACTAAAATGTACTAATATTATTTTTTAACATTTAATTAAGAAAACAAAATCATAATATCAACAGTAGATAATATCTCTTGGCTTTGATTCAATCAGATTAAAAAAGACGCCCATCAAAAGATTTTAATGAAGATTAGGCCTATAGGCTCTATAGGTGGCATTGGCTTGTTTTGAATATATCTTATTCATAGGATGCAGAATGTAGACAAATTTTCAATTCATCATATTATCTTAGTACTGAATAGTTCAGTCATGAACCTTATAATAGCCTAGTCAATGGTGTAGCTGACAATGTGAAAAATGCTTTTCTATATAGGCCAGTTGTTGGATTTCGATGTGTTATTTTCGAATCTAATAATTACATTTACTTTCTTGGTGAAAGTGATAATGCCTCTTTAATTTCAATTTCAGTAATACAATACACAGTAGGCCTATCTGTATGTAGGCCTACATATCATATATTAATATAGCCTATTTTAAATATAGCCTGATCCAGCCTACATCAGGGATGTCACATTATTCAAACAGTAAAATAAAACATTGTATACATTTGGGAACATCTGTGCAATACCCTGCTGTGAAATAGCCAGCTTGACATTTAAAAATAATTTTGTCAAACCCCCTAAAGATGATTTTCTTAAACATGAAATCAAAATTTCATACAACTGCAAGTGAAAGTAGATAAACATGTCATCTTCAGTGGCCTACTCTACATTCGTGTTTTGAGCTCTCCAATAAAATAATAAATTAGCAGCCAATCAATATACATGAAAAGATTACCATCTATACAACTTCCTGAGAAAATTTGTCTTATATTGCTTAATGGTAATGCTCGTTGTCTTCTAAACATATACTTAGCCCATGAACAAGGTCGACCCAAGGAAGCCATATTGTAATTATGGAAGACCAAACGGCCCATTATTTTTTCAATTTGCCAATAGGACGGATACATATCAACGCATCTTTCGGATATCTTCTTCTCCCACCAAAAATACCAAAAAATAACTTTCTGTGGGAAACAAAAATTGGTTTAACGTCCACTCAACACAAACTATGTCATTTCGGGACTAACATGGTTCATATTTTTTATTTCTACAATTCACTTGTAGGGGTCTTTAGCAGCGGCAGGAAACCTGAGGTCCCGGAAAAAACCCACGAGGTTGGACAGGCAAACCTACTCCTTTTCATGTACAAGTAGGGAATCAAACCACCCCTTGACTCAATGACAGACCTTATGGTTTCATGCGCACACACCACTAGACCATACAATCCCCCCTGAAGTGTACAATTTTTAAGGTTGGATTGCAAAAGGGGAAAGATTTTGTAATGGTGCCTCAGAGGAGGTAGTAGTGGCATGGTTGGATAGCAAAAGGGAAAAGATTATGTAATGGTGCCTCAGTGGGGCTGGTAGCTGCTACAGGTGGTACCAAAAGGATTGTTGTTCCAAAAGTTGTATACTTGAGCAACCATAACCAGAATTGTGTCCCATTGTGTGAAACTATAGTATTCTACAGAATTTCGGGGCTTGTACCACGGTTTCAAGGAAAGGTTAATGTGAAGGTACTGTATTTAAAAAGTTTTTTCTAAGTGCATTGTAAAATGCTTCAATAACTTTTCCATATCAGTTTTTTCCTCAGATTTATTCACAAAAAACCCCCCATTAATTCTGTTCAAAATGTTTTTATAATCATATACAGTAATAACATACAATAACCATAAACTATACATTTTACAATAACTATAAACAATACATTATAAAAATAACACATAAATACCATTGAAATATAAAATACACTGACAAACAGAGACAGCGAGAGAGAAATGGGGTTTAACGTCCACTCGACACAAACTAGGTCATTTTGGGACTAACATATGGTTTAATTTTTTTATTTCAATAATTCACATGCGCGTAGGGGTCTTTAGCAGTGGGAGGAAACCGGAGGACACGGAGAAAACCCACAAGGTTGGAAGGCAACCCTACTCCTTGTCACATTCAACCGGGGAATCGAAACCCCACCAGTTGACACAACGATAGACCGTATGATACAGCAGATGTGTGCTAACCATTCGGCCATCCAACCCCCCCTGACAAACAGATGACACACAGGAGTCAATGCCTCCATAGCAGATGTTTCCGACTCTACATATGTAAATAAATTATTACGAGAATTTTAAATGTAATATAGATTTATCTTGGCTCTAATAAAAGGCTGCTGTTTAATAAACTTAGACAATAATATTCAGCTAATATTAATAAATAGATTTATATTAATGGATAGTGTTGGCTGCTTGGGTCGATATTAGTACTACACTGAACAAACACTATATACTATATAGTTATTCCTGTAACTTATACATATTAAAGTTTAAATTAGATAACACTGTCTTCTATATTCTATCATATTCCAATTCTTATACAGTCTTATATTAACTGGTCATGGGAAGCGTCAGTTTTGTTGAATTTCAAGACCAATCTGTTTCACAGAGGAAATGCGAAAGCCTTCTTTTAACTCTGCAGAAGATGACTGACCTTTAATGTATACATGTGACATTGTTACATCATCCGGCGCAATAGAGTGTGCATGGTTTACAGCATGCATTGTTTACATCAGACACAGCTTAACATAAACTGGTCCGGGCAGATTGGTGCCCTTTACCCATTTTACGCTTTTGCATACTTCCAACATATTTATTTTTTTTCTTAATAATTTAAAAATTTAATTTGCAGAAGAAAAAAGTTAATGTTGAGAGCTAATTAACTCCCCCCGATGTCAATCCTTGCAGTGATTATAGTGGCCAAGCGAATAATCATGGTTGATCAGTTTGTTTCAAGACATGACATTCTTTATAGAATTTTAAAGGTTTGAAGAAAAAATTTTATTACAATACAGAAATGGTTCCTTTCCTTATCTAGGTTAAAACAGATAGGCTAAATTTGTGACTTGTAAAGATCAAAGAGGCTTCACTGGTCAGTATAAAATAATATTCAATTTGAAGTATTTTTAAATGACGTTCCATTAGACTGGGGATGTTGAAATTAGATGGTATGCATAATGAGAGACAATACATAATTATCACTGATATACAGTTTACCAGTCATACAAAATTTCCTAGTGGTGTTCAATGAGAACTATGAAGTATAAACTCTTAGCTGATCAATACTTGATCATTCAGTGAGATTAGGATTATTCAAAACATGTCATTATGTCAAATGAATTAAATTTGTTTTCTGTGTGAAAATAATAACACCTCTTTGAAGAAATAATTGGTCATATCCACAATAACATTTTCTGGTTAGATAAAAGTCCATTATTTAATACTGTTTGCAGGCAATCAGCACTATTTTTTTCATTATTGCTTGTTGAATTTTTAATAAGTAGTGTCATATTTATCAAAATTTCAAATTAATTGGTCACTTTAAGCAACAAGAAAGAAATGTGGGAATGTGTATATTGTATAAGTAAATATTTGTATTCAGTCCGTATGAGTATTTTTCCATCTTCTTCTGTCAGTTAGTGGACTCACATGGCCCTGAAATTCAAAAGAAAAATATTTGTTTATTTTATTGAAACGGTTAATAGAGAGTGTGTGTGTGTGTGTGTGTGTGTGTGTAGGCTTTCTAAAAAATATAAAAAGTATAAAATCTAATTGAAAGCTATAAATAAACATAAAAATCTGTTGATAATGTTTCTTCAACAACATAATCAATATTTATGTGGCCTACAAAATACAAGCACAATAAATTATACTTATAATACAGCTTTTAATATTTTATATTAAAGTTACAATTTCATATTTTCTAAGAAAATTATTTCTATGTCTTTTGCTCAATAGGTTGTCAACTCACTATTATACGATCATAGGTGTCATTCTCACACTTAAAACTCATTTACACCGGAAATAATAACACAATTACCTCCCTTGTTTTCTATTCTGCACCATGGAGTAGCTATCCTCAAACATTTGAATTTGAAGAGGAAAATGATATTTTTGCCGATTTCTCAACTCAACTATAGTAGTCTGGTCGAGATAGAAAATTTGTGGGAAGAAATTCCTACCCAATTGATTTCTTCATTTTCTGAAACAACTATGTCCCTAGTGTTCCAGAAAAATTTTCCCCGCCGATCGGTGTTGAGCAAATTTTTTTACAGCATTTTGAAATTTTGACCCCCTGGGTCAACATAATGAAACTGAAAACCATTGATAACTTCAAAAATATCAATTTTACACCCTAGAAATGATGTCAAAAGTAACGTATGACGTCACCGTGACGTCAGAATACAAAATGGCGGAACTATGACGTCACTGTGATGTCAAAATTCAAAATGGCGGAGACGTGTTGTGAATAAAGCAATAACAGCAAGCAAATAGACAAGAGGAACATTCTGGACACCATAAAATATTCATTCGGGTCATCATCAATAAAATCATCAAAATATTCTTCAGTTCTGATTTGTTCTGCCCCGTACCAAATTCATCTTCTAAATCGATGCTGATTTGTTGGCTATTCAGACAACCCTCCCCATGGCATCCTCCACGCGCTTCAACACATTTCAAACCATTCTTTGTACAAGAACGTGACGAGCATTGGTTTTTCAACGATTTACATTTACACCGGATGAAATTCAGAACGTTTTCTGGTGCTGATGGAAGAACAGTCGCGATGGGAACGTGTCTATTGTCTATCACTTGCCAACCCCAATTCACAGGATCGACGCCATCGTCTAGTTCATCCCAAATTCTAACCTGAACATGGACGCGGTGAGCATGCTGCTCGGCCGCGGCAGCTGTTGGAGGAAGTCTATTGATTTGAATGGAAATTTTTTTCAGCGATCATAGCTTTGTACCTTAGGTACCAGACTTTAGTCAGAGGTATCTCATTTTTGTTACCATACATTACACAGAATAACCTTTCTCCAGCTTCAGATACTTCGGACTGGGAACTTCCAGGTGAAGCTATTGTCTTGCTAGCTTCCCGAAAGATGTCACTGTTCGTATGTTTAAGAAGTCTCAATTTACAGAATCCGAAACAACCAGAAGTGGTATCACACCCAGACCAGGCGTGAATGAACAATAAATTGTCTAATACAGTTTTCAGTGTTGGCCAGAAACTGGCCTTGACTATAGATAACTGTGGTGTCCGATTTCCCTCGCCAATCATCGTGGTCGACGGCTATGAACCAAACACGACGATTGGCGAGGGAAATCTTTTTACAAATGACCGATAGTTTTCTAAGATGTTGGAGATATTCATCGTGTTCGACGGCTATGAACCAAATATTAAGGATCATGAGCACGAGCGCCGAGCTGCTACGTCTAAATGGTGGTGGGTGGTGTTCTTTTCTTAAATAGGTAGACAATATATATTCTGACTTTGCCCCTGTTATAAAACCTAACCTAACCATTTCACCTGTGTCAATAAATAATTCGATATATTCAACCAATCAAACAAACCTATATTTATTCAGCTAATCAACAAAAGATAAAACAATAATTCACACCCCGGGATTGCAAAATCCACGAAGATATACCTGAAACTTTTGTTGACTTATAAGATATCAGTTATATAGATAACTAAAATCCCAGTTAAAGAGAATCGTTTAATTTTGTTTTGTCACATTGTAGAAATAGCTTCCATATTTTATAATGCTTTCTTCAAAAATTAATTTCTAAATATAGAACTCGACGTACATGTGTAAAGTTTACACACGTTTTACTTTTTAGCTTTGATATGGCGTTCCATCACCTTTTGAAATCCTGAACTGCGTTGGATTAAGACATAGAGATATCCATGGTGGTATTGCCAAGTATCACCCATTAGCTGTACAATATTTCAATTAAAATGTAAAATTAAAAAAGTATATTAGCCCAACAATAAAATTATTGCCATCCCAAATTTACAGTAATTTCTATTGATTTCATAGGGAAAGAGAAATTGGGTTTAACGTCCACTCGACACAAACTATGTTCAGTTCTATTTCAATAATTCGCTTGCGCGTAGGGGTCTTTTGTAGTGGGAGGAAACCGGAGGACCCGGAGAAAACCTACGAGGTTGGACAGGCGACCATACTCTTTGTCACGCACAACCGGGGAAACGAAACTCCGCCAGTTGACTCAATGACAGACCGTATGATACAGCGCGCACGTGATAACCATTCGGCCATCCAATCCCCCCGATTTCATGATGAACCCCCTCTACTATAGAGTCCAATAATGACTTTCTTTATTTTAACTATTTATATCTTCTATTATCTTTTAGATATTTTATTTACAAAACATCTTGTATTATCAATGTTTTATCATCTAATCTTATTTTTATCTGAAAGAACGAGTATATGCTTTCGGTAAGAAATATATTTTCCCGATATTCTGGATATGTTTTCCAAGCGATGGTTTAGCACAAAGCCGTATACATTTCTCTGGTGCCCGATTTCCCTCGCCAATCGTCGTGTTCAACGGCTATGAACCAAACACGACGATTGGCGAGGGAAATCTTTTTACAAATGACCGATAGTTTTCTAAGATGTTGGAGATATTCATCGTGTTCGACGGCTATGAACCAAATATTAAGGATCATGAGCACGAGCGCCGAGCTGCTACGTCTAAATATAGGAACAGTGACATTTCTCTGAAATCGGACACCACAGTTATCTATAGTCAAGGCCAGTTTCTGGCCAACACTGAAAACAAAATCCATCTAATCAATCAGGTAGTCAACGATCTTGAATCCCATGGAGTCCCGACAAAATGGTACAATGGTGATGCAGATGTCACTATTACGAAGACGTGCATTGACTATGCTAGAAATGGTCAACCTGTAATGACACAGATATTTTGGTCTCATTACTGCACCACGCGAAACCAGAAATGGCGACAATTCATCTTTGCCACTTGGACAAAAAGCGCAACACCTATGACATAAAATCAGTCTGCAGCGCAATGGATAAAACTGTATTAGACAATTTATTGTTCATTCACGCCTGGTCTGGGTGTGATACCACTTCTGGTTGTTTCGGATGCTGTGAATTGGGACTTCTTAAACATACGAACAGTGATATCTTTCAGGAAGCAAGCTAGACAATAGCTTCACCTGGAAGTTCCCAGTCCGAAGTATCTGAAGCTGGAGAAAGGTTATTCTGTGTAATGTATTGTCACAACTAAAGTCCGGTACCTAAGGTACAAAGCTATGATCGCTGAAAAAATTTCCATTCAAATCAATAGACTTCCTCCAACAGCTGCCTCAGCCGAGCAGCATGCTCACCGCGTCCATGTTAAGGTTAGAATTTGGGATGAACTAGTCGCGATGGCGTCGACCTTGTGAATTGGGGTGGGCAAGTGATAGAGAATAGATACGTTCCCATCGCGACTGTTCTTCCATCAGCACCAGACAACGTTCTGAATTTCATTCGGTGTAAATGTAAATCGTTGAAAAACCAATGCTCGTCATGTTCTTGTACACAGAATGGTTTGAAATGTGTTGAAGCGCGTGGAGGATGCCATGGGGAGGGTTGTCTGAATAGCCAACAAATCAGCATTGATTTAGAAGATGAATTTGGTACGGGGCAGAACAAATCAGAACTGAAGAATATTTTGATGATTTTATTGATGATGATCCGAATGAATATTTTATGGTGTCCAGAATGTTCCTCTTGTCTATTTGCTTGCTGTTGTTGCTTTATTCACAACACGTCTCCGCCATTTTGAATTTTGACATCACAGTGACGTCATAGTTCCGCCATTTTGTATTCTGACGTCACGGTGACGTCGTACGTTATTTTTGACATCATTTCTGGAATCCTTGGTATCACTTTCCTATATGTTGATAATACATTTCTAGGGTGTAAAATTGATATTTTTGAAGTTATAAATGGTTGTCAGTTTCATTATGTTGACCCAGGGGGTCAAAATTTCAAAATGCTGTAAAAAATTTTGCTCAACTCCGATCGGCGGGGAAAATTTTTCTGGAACACTAGGGACATAGTTGTTTCAGAAAATGAAGAAATCATTTGGGTAGGAATTTCTTCCCACAAAGCTGGATTTGTCACCTTCTCCAACCAGCCTAATAGTGAATTATAGGATTAATAGGATTATTCTTTAACAAGGTAGGGCTGTTTATAGATACCATCTATTTTAAGGCTTTATTTTAATAAATTTTAAAAATATAGCGTAAAAATATGAAATTGCAACTTTAACATTGTTTATAATTATGCATTTTTGTAACAAATATATACAGTTACAACTTGACAAATTACAGAGGTTTATAAAACCTGAATTCAAAACAAATATGGAATGCCAAGCCTAGCATCACAAAAATAAAGAATAATTGTCAGTTGAATTCAAGCATCAAAGAAGCAATGAAATTTTTTTATATTCAAATTTTTTACCCTCCACATAAATTAACTGAAATTTGTTTTTTTAAATAAATTAGACTTTGTGTATATATACTGAATGTGCTACAATATACCGATAACAATTTGCTAGATATAAGCCCTCTGATATACCATGATTATAATATAGATAACTAGATAACAACACCAAGGTAGTCAAATCTACAGACCTCTTTCTTTTCATTTAATATAAAAAAACATTGGTGTAAGCACAAGAATTTGTTGATGAATTAAATCCTTTAGGAGGACAGATACATACATTAATGTTTTTTCTGTTAAAACATCCATAGATATTGCCAGTGTTGAGATATGGTTGATTAACTTGATTCATAATTTGGCTGTTGACAATCTTAATAACATTAAAGATACGATTTCAGTTATAATTTGAGAACGATATTTAATCATAGCAATGTTGTGATATCACTAATCAAAATAACAATTAGATCAAATTATGTAATTGCACATTTTTGGATTTAAATCTGTTAAAGGTATCCAGTTTTAAATGATATAAAAAATCTTTTTTCATAATCTATTCTGAATAGGCTGAATAATTCTGTGTCAAAATGTCAAAGATCAATGTCTTAAATCAGACCTGTAGGAAAAACCACAAAACACCCCAAATTACCCCAAGGAGAAAGACATAATTTTAATCTTAACCATAACACCAAGGAGAAAAACGTAACCTTAATTTTAACCCAACAGATGTACCTTTTCCCTAGAAAAGATGATTTAAATTATCTGTTAACTTTAAGGGATGGTAATGTCAAACATTTTAAAGCATTTAAAATGATCTATTCTCCAATATATTTTCTATCTATGTCGATAAACAGTAAACACCATAAGAAAACCCCTACCAAACCATTTTATTAAGTAAACTAGCTACTAGCTAAAAGATGTTACAACTGCTGTTGAGCCAAAACCAGTAAAAAATGATTATTATGAATTTGGCTTACAACTTGTAACATTAAGTTGTTGTGCATATGTCACTCCAGGTAATCATATGTATTTCTATTACCACTGACCTGATTGGCTGAATATCTTCTTTCTATAACCTGACAATGAAATAAAATGAGTGTGCATGATAATAAATAGAAACCAAGGTGAGCACAGCAGATAGTTAGTATGGAGCTTGGGCACCCAGGTTAGGTTCCCCTATCCTTTTACAACCATCTAATTAAAATACGGATCCTAGTTTGTTTCGATTTAAATAATTCAAAATTTCATTATAGGAGGACATAAAAAGTATAAAAAAACTCAACGAAATATAGATCTGTATTTTAATCAGATTACCTCTTGCAATAATCAATAATGGTGTGTTTCCACTACAAATAAAGTTTAGGAGTTAAGTCCCTTCTTATCAAACTCCTGGCTACACTACTCTGTCTTCAGTAAAAAAAACCCAGCTTTATAACGTTAAATTTATTGTTATTGGTACTCCAATTCCGTTTTACACCAACATGTATGGATAAAGCTCTAATAACTCCATATTAAAATTTCATCTCTAAGGCAGTGATTCTCAGTCAGTGTGCCATGGCACACTTGTTTGAACGGCACACTACGAAAATGTGAAAAAACATGTGATCCCAATTGAGTATCCACTGATAAGTTCATAGCTGTGTTTTTCTTCATTTAGTTTTAGTCATTCTAAGTGTCTATGACAAGTCTCTGTCTACGGTTGTATGCCGTCTGACTAAACCATCTTTTTTTTTTTGCAAAATTCAGATATTTTTCATATATATTTAGCCAGGTGTGCCCCTATTTCTTCATGTGTTCCAAGGTGTGCTGTTGGCAAAGAAAGGTTGAGAACCACTGCTCTGAGGCTTTGACCAAATTAATGAAACCGTCCCTGATTTTGGTTTTCCAGTTTTGGCAGCATATAAATGGTGGCTTACCATCTTCTATAGGAAATAGTCCACATATTCAAATATTCTTACAGAAATATAATGATGACAGAAACATAAATTGACATTTTTGTTTAATTAAAAATTCCGGAGGCCCTCCCTTTAAATTTTCAAGTGATTAATGACAACATCAATGCCACTAGACCTTTCAATGTGTCTTACATGAGTTCATACATGTATGAATAATAAATGTGATATTTACCTTATCAAAAAATCGAGCCAGTTTTACACTATTGGTTGACCCTGGTGTCAGATATTTCATATGTGTACAATCCTGTTACAAATTAAAATAAGAACATAAGAGTATTTCATAACACAAATAAGTGTTGAACAGATATGAACTTGTATGTTCAAATAAAAAACCTTAACCAGTGCTTGCCAGGTAAGATACGCCTACATTTTGCAAGAGATGGATAGAGAACAATAAAACAAAAACATGATTTTTCATACAATCAGGGGCCATAATCCAGGAAGTTAAGGTCTGAAATGAACGTATATCGAAAGGGATTGAGATCTATGGAATATCAACATATATTTTAAGTTTCATAAAAATTAAATAAAGATTGTTACCTCTAGAGGGTCCACAACCTTCATATTACATACTTTTACACAATTTGCATACAAGAAGCGGCATTTTGTCAGGGAACGAGATAAAAATTGTGACCTGTAGAGTGTCCACAAACAAAATGTCAACGGACAAACAAACACATGGATGGGGGCGATGACAATATACGCCCACATTTTCATTCATTAGAATACAAATTATGGAGATTACATGTTCAATGAATAGTCTAATTTTTAAAACTGGAGAAATCACAGATATCAAACCGGTGATGTCTTACTAATATTGTGCATGTAGCCTTAAAGGACAATATTGGTGCCAATCATTATCATATATGTGATAGAACTGGTTAAACACATTCTAAATATTATTTTATCACAGAGATCATTGCTACGATAGCTGTGGAATCAATGTTTCAACAATCGGAAGTGACGAACGCAAAAGGAAAACACAAGTTATCCCTCTATATAACTGATTGAAGTGATGGGGGATAACTGGTACATGGGCGAATTTCTGCCCACTAATAATTCCTTCGAAGAGCAAAAGTTGTTGTGTGAGACTGTGAAAGGATATCTGACAATTCATAAAAAAAATTTGACTGTTACTAGATAAGAGAACATGAAAGAAAAATAGAAAAAGTCTGTGCATTACCATGTTTTTATAATGATAGAATGAATAAACATGCGTGAATGTACGGACTGTTTCTATTTTATTCGTGTTCTTTTATCTAATGACATTCAATTACTTTTTTGAATTGTCAGATATACTCTTACAGTCTCATATAACAACTTTTGGTCTTCGAAGGAATTATTAGTGAGCAAAAATTAGCCCATGTATCTGTTATCACTCGTCACTTCAGTCAGTTATATAGAGGGATAACTCTGTTTTCCTTTTGCGTTCGTCATTTCCGATTGTTGAAGCATTGATTACGCCTCTATCGTAGGAATGATCTCTGTGATAAAATAATATTTGGAATGTGTTTAACCAATTCTATCACATATATGATAATGATTGGCACCAATATTGTCCTTTAATAATATGTACACATAATAAAAGATAATCCATAGATTCTTACAATATTAAACTCATCTGCTCCACATTCCTCTGCCACTGAGGATCTTTTAGAAAGAACATTTTCATTTAAACTTTGAGCCTGGTCCGCTTTAGTTCCTATTACTAGTATCGGTATCTGGTTACCTGCAAACTGCTCAGGATCATAATCATATCTATCAATAAAAAAATCAGAATTAACGAATAGATCCTTAATTATCTAACATAAACAAAGTGTTCACTAAAATTCTGTTGACATAATGCTGACCAACCTCTCTTACCAAACCTTTGTTACAGCAAACCGTGCTATTTTGAAATCTCAAGGAAGGCTAGGGTGTTCTTTAATGTCAAGGGTGGTGTCTGTATACCTAACAAGAACAGTGTGTTAAGTTCTTTTGATGGAATGAAAATTCAGAGTCACATGTACAAATTTGTAAGAATCATCAGCAGTTTGAATTTGAAGACGAGTAAGTAGAAACACTGCTGTCCTAGAAAATTACCCCCCTTGAATGGAACACACAACAATAGAAAAAGAATTATTGTATGTTAGTTTAAAGTGTCGACAAAAGATTAAAAAACATTCCATTCCCAGCCTGTTTCTATAGGATTTCAGTCCTACAATGGTTAGATCAGTGGGTTAGCACATAAAATAGAGTATTTAATTAAACATACATTATGCAAGAGCTAAATCTGCCTATAGCAGGTCTTCCTTTAGGCCTGAAATGTTATCTAAATTATCAATTAGACATTAATTAACTTATCCAGACCATAATCAACTCTTGATGTCAACGCTAGCCTGCAATATTTACTGGATTATGATTCGATTTGCTGCTCAACTTTCATTCATGAATTAATCATGAAATGGATAATTGAGACAATGTTTTTTTCTTGTACCAACTTTAGTAATAATGATCGAGGCTAGGCCAAAAATTCAATCGCTAAAATCTTGGCTCAGAGTGGATCAATTTGACTGAAATTTTCAGCAAATTTCCTTTACATTATCTAGTTTTTAACTATTATAGTGAGAACTGCCAGCTCTTTATCTCATCACCCATAATGTATCTTTAACTACATGTACTTACCCATTATTAACTTTATCAGTTCCCTTATCTAACACTTCAGCTAACCATTTCCTTAAATTCTGATGAGATTTTCTATTGCTCAGATCATGAACTAAAATTATTCCTGAAATTTTTAAAAGATTCTCATAACAATTACAAACTGATAAAACAAAATTTTCCATCTGCACACTGCACAATCAAGGAATTATACAGTCATAGGCAAGTGGAAAAATGAGACAATGAAAGCAATCACAACAACCCATCTACTGGCTCAATCTGGTTCTACAATATTAGACAGCTATATTTATTGATAGGGCCAAACAAGACAAATTCTACTCACCATTTACCAAATTATAAAATATTGAACGACTATTTTTATGACTAGATGATCCTCCTATATCCCATAGTTCTACAAAATATTCTTTTTCTCCTGGTAATCCAGCTTTGTATCCATGTAACTGTTAAAAAAATAATAGATGAAGCAACATTAAAGATACCTTTCCACGTACAAACTGTTTGATTTGATGATATATTTGGACTAAAAACATATTCAAACATATTAATCTATCGAAAATTTGCTTCAAATCCCTCTAGGATTTGATGATATACATGTTTTTGGACTAAAAACATATTTAAACTAATTAATCTACCAAAAATTTGTTTCAAATCCCACTCAAAACTTTGTATTCGCAAGGAGATACTCTAATCTATAAATAAAAAATCAAATTTTAGAAGTCATGTTTGTCACCTAACTTGATTGAGGGAGGGCCCATTTACAAGCATGTATTTGTCATTACTTACTGTCGATTTACAATACATATTCAGACCTAAGTAAATTCTTGAATTATTTTCTGCCAACTTCTTTTTCCGTAGTTTAATTGCAGTGTCTGTTATACGTTTACACCCCTCAATGTTCCCCAAACTGGCTAACCATTCGATCAAGAAATAACTACCGCTCCTTAAGTCAAGCTGGCAGACAATAAGCCATCAGGTTGCCCAGTGCTTGCCTCATGGGTGTTTTTCGGGTAATGCAGTATTTTTCTAGTAAGATTGGGTATTTATACCAAATTTGCCATAATTTTAATGGAAAGTATCACCCGATAAATACTTTCGTGAGAATGTATCTTTAAAATTTAAAGTAGCTAAGTCTCTAACACAATATCATCCAAAATCTTCAACATTGAAAACACGATTTATTTGTCAAATTAAATCAACATTCATGTTGTGATCTTACCGGAAAAAGATGGGCTTTTGATATCCAATAGTTAAGACAAAATAAACATTTTACCGTTGGTACACGAATCGTGTACCATAATGCGCTTCAGCCCCAGTTGTATCAAGAGACTTGAGGAACGAGGCTAGACACATTGCACCAAATCAAACGGCGTATATAGACTGGAATAACCAGACGCTAGAAATTTGCACTCGCTTGAGACTGCTGGCTTATTTCGCCGAACATAACTGATTTGAAATTGGAGTAAAAACGGAAACCATTGAATGTAAATCAGTTTATATACATTCATACTACAGTATTATATGCGTTGCGACCCACTTTTGTCAATTTCTAGGTCTCAAATGTTAGCGATTTAGCTCCTTTAAGAATAATATGCAACTTGGAATTATGCTTAGCGAATCATGGTTAAAAAGATGCCAAAAAAGAAAGTTTAAATATATAGGTTATTGGGGCAATTTTGCGTTGTTAGTAACCATGAGCTTATGACAATTTTAAGTAGGGTCTGGTAAAGTATCTATAGAGCAGTGGCCCACATAATCACAAAATACATTATGAACTTATACAATAAATGAACAAACAAATACATCATAAATTTACACAATAAATAAAGAAACAAATACATTGTGCACTTAAACAGTAAACAGAAAAATAAACTAAAAAAACCTTGATTATTATTTATTAATACATCAAGCAAAGATTAGAGGTTGCGCAAGCTGGGTATGTGTGTGAAATAGCTTTATTTAACGTCCGTGTAGTCATGTGGAAACTAACTTATATTTTTCCACAATTTATTTTTTTTTACAAAAAGTATAATGATACTGCAAATATTATATCACTTTTTGTTTCGTTTCGGAATATATGTCAGTGGTTACGAAATATCACCGGAAGTTGAAACCGCATGGTTCTCTTCCATTTTGACAATAAAATTCAATAACCGCTCACCCTCTGTCTCTAATATTTTCAGGTAGATATCATTTAATTCTATATGCTTTGCTAAGTAATCGTTATTATCGTGTAGAATAATGACCTTATCTATCATGTATGCATTAGTTGGAGGATGTTACATCCTTTTCTATTGGTAAATTGTATTTTAGAGTGATAGCCATTCCGCTGACCAGGAATGCACTGGGTCACGTGACCACGCATTTAAGAATTTGCATGTTTCTAGGGACACGTCAGTAATAATTATCTTATATTTACTCATACTGCAAAGGTTAAATTGAGTATACATATCTCCTGTTCTTTTATTTGTCCGTTTAGCAACTAATTGTCGTTTAATTGTGAACGTTGGACAATCCAAGGAAACATTGCATTGTTTCAATCATAGATTGTGATTAAAGGGGAATAACTCTCTTTTTGGAACCCTTGTAAAATTCAATGTTAAAGGCCTTAGAAAGTGTTGGGATTTTGTCCAGATGAGTGCTTGCCAAGAACCAAATCATTATTAAAACATTTGTATAAATGTTTATGTATTGTTAATAATTACATCTATGAATATTCAATCATGTCATATGTAACCTAAATGGCATGGTTCTCTTCCATTTTGACAATAAAATTCGATAACCGCTCACTCTCTGTCTCTAATATTTTCAGGCCTATGACCAGCTAGACCAATTGTGATGTGGGGCCAGGGTCGTGAGTTCCAATGACCAAGCCATCAAGTCAGCCCAGTCAAGAGCATTAGTCCGTTCGTGACATATCTTGCAACCACCTCAATTAACTTGAGCAAAACGTGTTACATCCGCTTCTACTGAGGTGATGATATCGCAGACAAGCAAGCTGGGTATTGACCATACATGTATCTCTCTTATATCATCTGCAAAGGATACTGCATCTTGACAAATTCTCAATTCATTATCACCTCTGTAAATACTGAACATAACTTAAACATTTTTGGACTGATATTTCTTTTAGAAATTCATCTTCCACAATATTGTAATTTGAGGGATTCCTTATTCCCATACGTTCAGAGATTTCCAGGTGGAATTTTAGAGCTTTATTTATACATGTTAGTGTTAAACAGATTTTAAAGATCATTGATATATGCAAGGGATTAAAAGTCTCCTCAAATGACAATCAGAGACTTTTAGACGAAGCAATCAGACACATGAAAAAGTAATAATATGGTAATGTTACGGTACCTTTACTTCTACAGAGCAGCCTATTGTAGCTCCAGGATTACTGTATGGTTCACACTGACAAACTAAATGTACGAAAGATGTTTTCCCAACACCTGTAAAAAGATACATATATAAGCTTACATAAATAATTATACATATTCTACAGTCAAAAACAAACCATAATATTCGATTAAGAGCTATTCACTATCATATTAAATTGAAGACATCACAGTCATTGACATCATCATTTGTAGTGTCAGAATTTTTTTTGAAAAAAGACAGTGGTCTGACGGTTTAGGCGTTTGACATGTTTTGGTTGGAGTTTGTTGAGCTAATTGTATGGATGTTATTTATTTGTTATTCAGATTTCATATTCTAACATTTAAGCCTGCAAATATACCTGAATCTCCGACAACAAGAACTTTCACTTTATCAATGGCAGCCATTGTTTACGTGTCCTTTAACGGATTGACTACAGAATATGTGTAGCAATATGCAAATTAAATACAAATTGAAGAGTTATGATACGTCTTAAAATAGTCTTCAATATGGGTTTATTTTTATTCAGTTGGGATTACACTAGATCTTATTGATGTATAATCAATTATCATTACCATACCAAATTTGTTCTTCTAGAACCTAGTCAATCCGTATTATAAGAATTTCAAAAATGGCGGCCTCCATGAAAAGATTAATTGAAGAGAATGATAAAGAAATAATGAATATCACATGTTCTGATGAATAATTCTATGTAGACATTATTTCTTATGTTAAATAATTTAGGGTAATTAATTTTGTATAAAAAAATTACATCCCTCTCAAATGTAGGCCTGCTGCTCAGTATATTTTACTACTAGGACAAAGAGGAAGGAAATAATAAAGTAAAAGTAAAGTTTAAAAAGCCATTATTACCCTAGTTTGGCATTAGAGAGAAGCTTTCCAGAAAGTACTCAGGCCGAGGAGAGAGCATAATGTCCACTCGACACAAACTAGGTCATTTAGAGACTAACTATGGTTTAATTTGATTTCAATACCGGTAATTCACTTGCGCTTTGGGGTCTTTAGAATCAGGAGGACACCGAGAATACCCACGAGGTTGGACAGATGATCCCGCTCCTTGCCACATAAAAATTGGGAATAGAAACTACACCAGTTGACTTGATGATCAACGGCACTAATGGAGTAGGCCTGCTACCAAATTCTACCTCATAAATAATGTCATAGGGTACCACTTCATTTAATAGGATACCACTTCATTTAATAGGATGATTTACTGATACTACATGTCTAAACAGACTACAGACATTCCAGTTTACAATTTTGCTAATTTTCTGGGAATTACTGCAACTCAATGGTATTGATACAACTGCAGTATTCTGTCAGTTTTTTAATAATGAGAAACGTGTAGTAGGCCTACATGTATTCGGTAAATCATCCTGCCTGTAGTATAGGCACATGTAGTCTAGTAGGCGCATTTTTAAAATGTTTGATGAGAAGTGAACATAAATCTAAAATTAGATATATTGTCAGGTTTGTACATTCAGAATACGAGTGCAATTGTATATTGTAATCATGGTATGAGAGCATGCTCTGAAATAAGCGTCAGGACACGGACAATGTCCCGACGAATTGACCCCTTTTGACAGGGTGAATTGCCTTTCGTCTAAACATGATTGTCCAACCGAGTTTTTGTAAAAAATTAAGTCAAAAATAATAATTTCTATTTGCAAAAACAAGACTTATATTTGAGTCAATCGTTAATTATTAGACTTAAAAATCCAGGCCCCAAAACACTGTATATGTCATGTATTTGCAATAATATCATCGATCTGATCATAGTGAAAACCACCATCCATCTACATGTATATAAGTCAAAGCTGTATATAAGATGAATGTTTTTTTAACTCCAGCGTAGTAATATTTTATCGAGATACGGGAGCTGTGCCGATGCACGTCAAAAAATGCCTCATAATATTAATAAAGATTAAACATACTAGATTTCAACAGTTTTTTTGGTATAATATTAATATACATGTACCGTACATAAAGTATTTGTCCGGCTGAAAATCTGAAATGTCCGACCAAAAATCAGTGAAGCCTGATATGATGTCAGGCTGAACCTTAGCAGTTATTTCAAGGCTTGATGAAGAGAAAAGTTCAAATGGTCTTACTCTTTTTATTTTGACTGACTGCAAAGGGTTGTTCAGAATGATTAATTGATTATGCCTCAGAAACCTACCAATTATCCTGTTATAATTGTTTTTTTCAACGCAGATCTGCTTAAACATAAATAAAGCTAATATTATCATCTTATTCTTTTTTTCCGATAGTGCAAAAAATGGATTCCGATACTCTTCTCACTGAAGTTCCAGAACCATTGAAACGCTTAACAAGACTCATTGTCAGAGGCTTTTATTCAAAGCAACATGCAATAGTTATCGATATCATTGTCAGACTAGCTTGCATCAAAGAGGATGATATGATAGAGCTATTGAAGTTTGAAAGAAAACAATTGCGAGCGTTAATCAACACTTTAAAAAATGACAAGTTTGTTAAAGCCCAGATGCGTGTGGAAACAGATGCAGAAGGAAAAACAACCAGACATAATTATTACTTTGTTAATTATAATGTGTTTGTTAATGTGGTTAAATATAAATTAGATCATGTTCGGAGAAAAATTGAAATGGAGGAGAGAGACAACACAAGTCGTGCATCTTTTAAATGTCCTTCGTGTATGAAAACATACACAGACTTAGAAGCTGGTCAGTTATTAGATTTCATGACACAAACATTAAAATGTACTTATTGTAATACTGAAGTGGAAGAAGATGAAACATCCATGCCAAAACAGGATGCTCGAACTATGTTAGCTAAATTCAATGAACAGATACAACCAATATATGATTTGTTAAAAGAATGTGAAGACTATAAATTAGCACCTGAGGTCCTTGCTCCTGAACCAGTTGATTTAAAGAAAAATTTAAGGTTAGTATTCTGCACATCTTTGAGTGTTAGATGTTCATATAACCAATATTGTCTAAAGTATTGCAAAAAGTGACCGGCAAAAGTACTCTTTTGTCTGTGATTAGTAAAACTGTTTTGATCAAAATTTCACTTATCGTTGTTGTTGTTTATTACAGATTTAACATCCAATACTAAATATGATATTATAGACAGGTTGATTTAATTGAATTATTTACACTTGAAAATTGTTAAAAACACAAAATAAAAAAGTCCTCGGATATCAAAGGTTCCTTAAAACACACTTATAAATTCGCTGTCGTCAGAAGAGAGGGCAGGTCATCTTCTCCCTTATCCATTATGATATCATTTAATATTCGGATATGATATGTAGAATATGCATATCTTTAACACATCTTTCCTTGTCAGTAGCTTTATGCAACACTCTGGGCACTACATACAATCCCCCTCCCCCCCAAAAAACGCTCTCGTCAGTGATTACTTGGACTTAATATAATATTGCAAACTCCAAGATGTCCATTAAAAGAACTGTCTTGTCATTAAATGATTACATGTCAATGATATAACCCTTTTCTTTTACTAGAAATCAAAATGCCGGTGGATCTAAATCAGCTAGCGATAGAGAAAATGCTACATGGAGTGGTGAATCAACTAGAAATATAGGGTTTAATTATTCTGAAAGTAGTGTTACTATTAATATGAGAGAAAACGACTTTACATCACCAACTAAAGATAAGAAAGAGAGACCCGTTTGGATGACAACAAGTACTGTTGATGGTATACCGATGCTTGATGCCAAAGAGGATGTAAGTTCTCTTTCATTTTTTTTGTTGCATATATCAAATTTTATTTATAAGAGAAGTATGATATTCACATCTTAATAAGGAAAAGAGACATGTACAGTTTTAAATAAATTTCTCGCTTTCTCATGTGATTTTCCTACATTGTATATTAAATAACTATGAACGAGTAATGGGAACTATTTAAATATTAAATTAATGGTAAACAACAACCAACCATGTGATATAATAACCACTCTAACATAACTAACCCCTGATATAAAACTTGATTGGTTTTAGGAAATATTAAAATATATACATTTAGATTGTATATATATAAAAGTGGTAAAATAAGACAACAGTCTATACTTCAAATAACATCATTAAATCTTTCATTGAACTTCTGTATATCATATTATTCTTATTTTTAAGGATGCCTCGAAAGCAGAAGTGGGAACATCTCATGAAAATAATACACCTGTTAGTAGAGATGACATAATGCAGACATTATTAGTCCATGAACCAAAGGCATCAACTGCTGGAGGTTTACCATCTGCTAGAGGTGAAGATAGTTCAAGTAGTGATTCAGATGAAGATAAACCTACTACATCTGCTGGTGGTATGTTTTTTTTAAAAGTTACTCTAATCTAGCACTAAATAAATGACTTACAAAGTTCTCAAAGCAGTTGATTTATCAGGACTGGGTGATTTGTTGACGTAGGGAAAAATAAATTGTTATATTTTGACACTGGTTGAATCGACTGATGTTTCATTTATCTCTAAATTAACTAGCACTGACATAAATCAGTACCTGAAGAAGATTATTACAGTGAACACTCTGTATATATTCTTCATTATTAGGCTTCTAGTTTCATCATTTAAATCTGGCTCTCTATAACATTTCTATATTTAGCAAGTTGATGGGCCAAGTGGTCTAATACATTTGCTTTAGATCATAAGGTCAGTCATTGAGTCAAATGGTGTTTTGATCCCACATGTTTACCTTACAAAGAGTAGAGTCGCCTATCTAACCTCATGGGTATCTTCTTGGGTCCTTTGGCTCCCTACTACTCTACCACTCTGGTTTCTCTCTTATGACAGGAGGTTTAATTATGCATTATGCAAGAGATAAATCTGCCTATTGCAGGTCTTTCTTTAGGCCTGAAATGTTATTTAAATTATTAATTAGACATAAATTAACTTATCCAGACCATAATCAACCCTTGATGTCATTGCTAGCCTGCGATATTTACTGAATTTGAATACATTTTGTGATGGATGATTTAATGTCAAAATGGATAATCAAGACTTTGTTTTTTATCGTACCGACTTTAGTAATGATGATCGAGGCTAGGCCTAAAATATTCAATCACTAATATCAGAGTGGAGCAATTTGACCGAAATTTTCAGCATTAACTATTATAGCGAGAACTGTCGGCTCCTTCTCTGATCTCCCATAATACCACCAATGTGTCTTTGTCAGGCCCTCTGTCTTGCACCACTGACAGGGGAAACCACATCGGAAAATCACGATCTTTTTAGACCAACACCAGGAACGAACCCGCGACCTCCAGGCTAGCGAGCCAGCGTCTAACCCACTTAGCCACTGTGGCTCCCAACATGGCTATGATTGACCTTTGCTTTGTAACTTGTCAACATTTCAAAGGATTTTTGTCGTCAATATTTCATATGATTTCTGAAAAGCACTAAATATATATCTATTTTAATTTACAGTTGTGGAGGAAATGGAAAGTGATGATGATGACGAAGCTGTTGCTATGGTGATAATAGGAGATAAAAAGGTGCCATTACATGAGGTAACGGATAGTATGGTAGCTCAAATGACACCTGCAGAAAAAGAAGAATATATTAGATTAAGTCAAGAAATGTATGAAGATATGTATGAATAAATTCTCTTTAAAAGGGAATTTCTCTATTGTTAAATAATTTTCAGTGTTAATAAAAAATATTTTTATGTATCAAAGGCAACTCTTGTGCTTTTAAAGTTCCCCAGTCTGAAAGAAGATGGACATTTAGTGATGTTCTGTCTGTCGGTCCTTCCATGCAGTTTTCATTTCCATTCCCATTAACTTTAGTTCATCAATAACCATTTGCTTTTAATATTGAGTACTTCCCTTTAGGACATTCTTCAGTTATTAAGCAATACGTTCTCTAAATCTTGCCCATAGTTTCTTGAAGACAAGACAGCTATACTATAATATTCTTAAAACTGATGGGTTTTTTGTCTACTTGGAAAAATTAAGATACATGCACCTGTATGGAGAAATCTGACAATTTATGAGGATAAAATATGACTGACTGACTGGATCATTTTCCAGTTTTATGTAAATTTATGAGGATAAAATATGACTGACTGACTGGATCATTTTCCAGTTTTATGTAACTTTATATAAGAGAATTTTGTCAGGGCAGTGGCACAATCGCGTATCTCCTTTTGAAATGCTGACTACCTTATTATTTACTGATACAAAATTCTTATCAAGCCATTTTAAAAATAGCGTCTTGTCTTTTATTATCTGTTACTATATGCATAGACAGCAGCATTAGAGCCATTCTTCACAGATTTTTTTTGCCATGGAGTAGTAAGGCTGTTTTTGGACCAGGAACTAGTCCCCAAGCACTACTCATATTCTTCCTGTTCTTCTTTGGGGGGCAACACTCTTTGAAAAAAAGCCTAAGGCTCAGCCACTTCAATTACAATTCACAATTCCAAGAAGGTGATGATGATGTCATATCCTCTATTGCTGTTCCATTTTACTATCATACTTGTTTATTTTGCAAGAAAGAACCCTGCATTGTTGTCAGAGAGATTGAACTTTGTCTGATCTTCAAATTTATATTTATGATATTTCTCAGCAAAATATAAAAAAATGAAATAGGTTTAACGTCCTACTTTTTTGCACTGACTGGGCTACTGATAACAGGCATATGCAATACAGAGTGAATATGTGATAAATTTTCCCCGGAGAGCAGCACTACAGCCTACTCTTATTTCAAATTCCAAATGTCAAGGGTACGTTTATGTGCACACCAATATGTACATAGGACCTTGGTTTTTCATCCCATCCGATCAACTAGACACTGTCCTTACCAGGCCATTCGTTCTGCACCACTGATATTATGTTAAAGCATGTCGGAATAAAAGTTAACTACTGAGTTAAAGGTCTAACTTAATCAGGGGGGTTGGATGGCTGAATGGTTAGCATGTGTGCGCTGTATCAGAAAGTCTGTCATTGAGTCAACTGGCGTGGTTTCGAATCCCCGGTTGTAGGTGACAAGGAGTAGGGCCGTCTGTCCAACCTCGTGGGTTTTCTCTGGGCCCTCCGGTTCCCTCCACTGAATTACAGATGCAATATGAAAGAGCAAAATCTGCTTATTTGTCTTCAAATGTTATATAAATTATATGTTATATCAATCCAAAAAAGTATAGATGTATGATACAATTGTAGACTGATATATATATTGCGCATTGTCATCCTCAGGTCAGCAAATTATCGTCATTTGATCACAAATTAAGACCAGTATCGTTTGAATATTAGGAAGTGTACATTTACACTTTCTAGAACACTTAATACCACGTATCATTTAATAGAGAATTTCTCTAAGTAAGAGCTTTTTTCGACATTCAAGCGAGCACAAAGTATTAATACCTGTGCTAAATGAGGTTGTCTCCCTTGAAACATACCATTAGAAGTCACTGCAAAGCAGGGCCATTTAAATACACATAATAATAACAAAAATTGTAGGTTTCGCCAACAGTGAAAAATATATAATTCTAAAATTGTGTTTTGGAAAAAAAAAAGATCTTTATAGAAAATAACACAACTCGAGCTGAAATGGGGAGGTAGGTGGAATGAGTCATAGATGAAATCTATTCACAGCAAATGAGAATATAATATTCTTTCTCTTTCATATATGGGAAAAAGTTGAAAATAACAGGTTCTTGTTTTGTTTGAGACCAAGTATACATTTGTAAAACGTATCAAAATCAAGTGCATATTTTATTTTTTTTTTCTTTTATATAATAAAACCTTCCCATTTTACAAACAAGAAAACAGTTTCGAACAAAGCTTAGGAATTCGCAAGCAAGTCTTTAAACTGAATGCAAAGTGTTTTAATCAACAGTAAAATCTTCCGGAAATTGTAGAAATTAATAGTCAATGTGCATATTTATGCAGTGACAGGAACTTTTATTGCAACTTACAATCAAACTTTTTTTTGTTTGATTCATGCTAAAAGCGGAATTCTCTTAGACGTTAATCGATGACATAGATAATTCTCATTTTGTATTTTATGGCTTAGCCTAGATCTACCCTCAAATTGTCATTTTTAGAAGAAAAAAAAATTATGCTTTTGCACAAAGAAATCACTGAAATGGGTTACATAGGCCTACAATAGATATCGTTCTTTTTGAAAATAAAAAGACAACTGAAAAGCTCGATAAAAAAGGAAAACCCACTCATTTGGGATTATATAAATGGACCCGGTTGAAAGAAGTCAACGTTAACGAACGTGAAGAATGTGGAAAATACCCTTCTATAACTAAAGAAATTCCCGCATGACGTCAGGTCATTGGTGCGCGCGCGCATAATGAACAGCAAGAGTTCAAGCAGACAACGGAGAATAAGCAGGTTGCTGTCTGAGTGTGTTGTTCTGTGTGTAGTGGTTTTATGATGTTAGCACATTGTGAGTCGTTTTTAAGGAATATCTCGGACCTACTAAATGGAATAACTTACACTTATTGAAAATATAAGGAACTGTGTTTGTTCTAGTATGGGGGAGAATAATAATATTGTGGAGGGATGGTTGCGTTCTCTCAATTTAGTTCAATATACACAATCATTCATAGACAACGGTTATGATGATTTGGAAGTGTGCAAGCAAATAGGCGAGTTGGATTTAGATGCTATTGGAATTGCTAAAAAAGAACATAGAGACAAACTTATACGTGCTGTTAGAATATTACGAGAGGAAGGGGGGACTGCCGTTTATTTTACATTAGAAGAAACTATCGGGGCGGCAGTCAACCAACAAATTATCGGTGCTTATTATGACGATTCTGTTTTGAAAGAATTGGGTCCCCCTCCAGATCCGCCAGAACTGACTGATGAACAGGCTGTGCGTCTTGATGCATATGACGTGGGAAAATCTGCATTACTCATATATCCGAAAGTACAGTTAAAACACATATTAAAAATTAAAGTCAGAGAAGATGACATCGATTTATCTAGCCCTCCGTATACGACACAAGTAAGCTTATTTTTTTAAATACTATTTATTTTATTGAACAATGTGTATGGTATGATTAACTGGTGTGAATGATACACCGTATAAAAATTGCTATGATTCAATGATAACCAATAAACGATATCAATTACGGCTTGAACGGTAGTCGAACTACAACAATGTATAACGTTTGACTGGTCAATATCAATGATAAGTCATAGCAAGTTTAGATTCTATCATGGAATTAATAACAATATCACGGGCCTTGCTTATAATGCAGCCAGTATTTTCTATTATTTGCATATTTCCCCCGATGTTTGATCATTTTTCTTTAATAATACACAACGAAAGGCTATTTTGTGATAAGTGCGTATGTCGCCAATTTGTCTGGAGTCCTGCTATGTGTATTGGATGTGTGAAAACTATTATGCCTGCAACCTAGAAATACAACTGACAGGCGGCTCTTTTGATCTTTTAAGGGTTGATTATGATTGGTGTAGATTTCAACCGAAAGCTGCAAATTTTACAAACTCTTGCCCCCTTGAGCAACTTAACCACATTCATGATTTATCACTTCATTAATTGATGTGTCATTTATTTGAAATTACTATGACATTGCACCCATTCCAAACTTTTCTGAAAATAATCATTTATTAATTTGGCTGTGGAATTGGTTATTTAAAATACAACCATAAGTTTATATTATTTTATTTATTGAAGAATATACCTCAATACAACTACGGTACTAGATAAGGTACCTCATCTGTCTCTCGATTTATCTGAACGTTTTTAGTGATGTTCTTGTATTTATTATTATCATGATTTTCAGAATAAATTGAAATGTTAATAAATATATTAAGCTATACAATTAGCTTATGATATTACTAGATTCTGTGGAAGCATTACATGTATGCTGACTTAGTGCCTGTTTCACATGGCTTCGAACGTGTCACCCTATAGACTAGTCTGAAATTGATTGATTATTAAAATGTTGTCAGATTTGAGGATTTTTTTCTATTGCTGCAAACTTGTACATTGTACATGTATGTTGTTCAGATGCTTACATGTATGTTATGTTAAGCTGGTTTAACAATGCCAAAGGATGCTAAATCAGCTTGAATTTGTCAACAAAGAGCAAAAAGTGGGACATATAAACCAGTCATACAAAACATTCAGTTCGCACCACACATTACATTCTTTTGTAATATTTCAAATTATTATCCATCTGTTCATATTTAAGCTGGCATATACAAACAGTCTTTGCTGGCAGTTTCAACTGTAGTCTTTTGTCTTTATCAATCTATCGCAGAGACTGTCAAAGGACCTGTAAAACAAGCGGTGTCTTTTCTGATGTACATTTATCAACTTGACAATGTGGGAGCAGGGGTTAAATCTTATTTTAACTCCCTTTTAGAATCTCACAGAGAATATCTAAAATGCATTTAATTTGAAAAATGCTTACTGTTTCATTCATCATACAAAGGCTGTTCTCGAGTGAAATAGTGTTGTGTACCATGAAATTTAAAGTTCTGAATGCCGTTTAAAACTGATAATGAAAAGTGACTAGAAATTCTTCATTTGGTCTAATACATGTACATGTACTTATACTTTCTACCTAGTAAACCAAATGTGATGTAAGGGGGTTGGGATGGTCTAGAGTGTCTGGCCTGTCACCTCTGGCTTGAGGTCATGTTTTCGATCCCTGGTGGAAGCGTACATGTATGTGGCTTGGAGATACATGTATGGGCACCTTCTCTACCTCGTGGGTTTACTCCAGGTACTACAGTTTCCTCCCACAGGAAGCCCCATGCGCATGCGCTAAGTATCATAAAAATGACAACTTGTCTGCGATATCACCCTAGGTGGAAGTGGACGCTGAACTCGACCTACACACATAAGCCAAGTGTAGTATGCTCGTATGGTATGCTAGCACAACACAGTAATGATCATCTAAACCCATGTGCGTTCTTCAAAATGTCCATTCAAATATACTTCAAATTTTTTAAGTACAATTAGCTTTAGTTACTAAAATGATAACATATGAAATTGGCTACATACAAGATGTGCCATTTTAAATTTAGAAAGCTTGAATCATCGTACATGTCCTTACATAATTGACAATTCGTGAAATTTAATAATAATTTTTATCATTATGAATCAGTGATGTACATGTATGGTTGGTTTTTTTTTAGTGTGATGCTTATAAAAATAGGTCACAAAGAGAAAGAGGTTGTGTTCTGTTTTTGTGTGATAATGGGCTGTAAATAATTTTGAAATGTAGGTTAACAGACTTCTGCCTGGTTGTCAATGTTAACAATGACACATTCATAACAAAATCTAGTAAATTTCTGTGAAAACCTGCTTATTATGTTGATCATACTGAAGGATAGAAAAATGAAAACCACTTAATGTACTGAAAAGATATAAGTTTTGTTTGAGCATATTCATGTATAAAGGACAACATTTATAAGATAAATATTAGCTACCAAAATGTTCAAAAAGAATAGTTGCAAAACTCCACAGTTAAAATTTTTTTTATCATGGTTTTGACTGAAAGCTAATTATGTTGCTTCATCTTAGATGACATTCCAATGCATACATGTACCTACATGTAAACATAATGAACAGATCAGAAGTGCTGTGCTGCATGATCAATTTTGCTTACATCATGCAAGATTGCAGAATCTTTTTCATGCAGCCTTGTTCTTAATGCAGACAAACAGACCATTTATTTGTCCACTAGTTAAATCACAAATATAAAAGTCGGGTAAACACTAACAGATTGATGATGGATTTATGAAGTATGAAATATAAACATTTTATTCAAGATTTATTTCAGATATGACAATATGTTCAATCATATCATTCTTGTGATTGACACCAGTCAGGTCATTAATGTCATATTCAAAACTTTATTTTATAGGATTTTGTATAGCTAAATTTCTCTTCAAGGAAATGAGTTTTCATTCTAATAATATTGATGACGCTTGACCTCTAATGATCAATAAAATCATTTCTATGGTAACACCAAATTTAGTATTTGCTATCTTATAAATTCATTGATTATTGCTGTCCATTTTTTTTTTCTCGCTGTACATTATGATGAAACTGACATTTTACTATTGGTCAATCAATCATATGACAGACTGATACATCTTACTATCAATATTATCATGACTGATACTTTAACATATTGTAATATGTCTCAGTTTGTCTCTTGTTTCTTAACATTTAAAATTTACCAACATTCAATAGAAGTGGTTGTACAGTTATTCAATCTTATTAATATTACATTTTTATTATGTCTTGGCGTATCATGTAACATCTGCATTTTCAGTAAGGTACACTAGTAGAACAAGTTACAATGATAAAACTTATCAGATGCTATAGGTAAAACTGATATGGAATATAAAACTAAAGAAAACCAATGGAAAAACCAATTGATAGATATTTGAAACAACTATTAAATATACATGCTGTGTACAGATAGTCTGTCCTAATCGATATGATATCAAAATTGTGAAAAATAAATGTATGTAATATGTCAAGATGGTCCTTCTTCAGATATTATGTATAGTATTGATGATTGATGAGGAAAGATTTTGAAAGCATAAATGTAGCTACTTGTAGAAAATGAGGAAAGATGTTATAAAGATCAGGGTAAATTATTGCTATAAATGGAACATTACGGCCACTTTTATTCATAGATTACCAATAGGCTGCTTCATACTATTGATTTTTGAGCAGACAACCCTACTGGACGATCGGCTAAGGGAAGATCAACGTGTATGATACCAACAGTTTAGGAAATAGAAGGCCAATAAAATCAAACCCAATATTTCCAACCAATCTTCCAATTCTATCCAAATTTCGTGTTATTTTATGACTGTAATATATTGATATGATTTGAGATTAAATTGTATTTCCACCATGAACATTGTGCTTTTCTACAAAAAATTGCGATTTGCGAGTGGGGCCTATACACATGTCAAGTGACTTGACCTTACATGCACATTGCTACCAGAATGACAACCAAACCATTTCCTTAGTTGTTATTTCATCTGATTGTTTTCAAAATCTATACATGTAGATTGTCCTGTTTTCATATGAAATGTCAGGACATTTTCTATTCTTAAAAGATATTTGATGAATTTGTGAATACTTATATTGGTCAGCAGTGAAGTTTCACATGGACACTTTTTAAGTCGCCTTGTTATTTCTGGCCTCGGTCTCCAGATTTAGTCAAAGTCAAATATTGCCCTAGTGGACTGGTCAGTGGGCAAATTAAGTAGACATAAGATTATGGTTTTAAGTTTAGATTTAGTGTTTGTTGAAGGGTAACAATGGATTGTTTGTGTGGTTTGGTTACATTTAGATTATAATAGATGTATGAAATCCACATGTGCTGACATGTAAATACTTATTATGTAAACAATCACAAAGTTTAACACCTTACATAGAATTTTGTTCTTAATTTATCATATTTTTATAATATGGATAAGATTGATTAAAATTTGATTGTCATTTATTATTAACATTGTACAACAAATTGTAAACTTCAAAACTAAGAAGTTGTATCAGTTGTTTTAAAAAGAGTAAGCCTACCATGTCTTGTGCACTACACCTATCTTTACTTAAAAATTGGTTTGCACGTCAATGTTTACTTTGAAAATTTTGTTATTACATGTATACAGAAATGGATCAAGAATATCCGAACTAATTTAGATTTATATTTGTCGTATTTGACCATGTCCAGTTGTGTATTTTAGGGGATGAACATGTTGACTTTGTATTGAAGAAGTTATATTTCTTTACAAAGAACAGATGGTCATCCTAGTCCACATAACTCAGAAAAAGAATAGAGCTTTACATTTGACACATCACAAGAATTGACCAAATATTTTTCCTATTGATATGAATTGTGTTATTTGATAGTTCGGGTATAATCAGATGTCAGTCTGTCTGTCACTTTCTCCTTTCTTTCACACCCAATTTGTCAGATGCCTGTGTACTTGGCCTTAATG